AAGCATTATTCGTAGTGGCGATAAACATTTTTTAATTTTTATTTATGCACGCGTTGTAATTAGACAAATTTCGATTTCCTTAACTTTTTGGAAACTTGACGTTGATACGCTACTGTCTCACGATCGTTCGTCTCTTTCCTTATCTGCAATGTCGTATTAAATGAAAATGACCATTGAAAATTTTCAGTTTTGGATTTTTCGTATTCAAGGTCACACAATGATTATGCCATCGTGAATCGCTGAATTGCTCGACGATAACAATACATCATTTTAAAGATCACCATGAGGTTTCAAAAAAATTTCCAAAGGGATGAAATTAGGTGGTTGGAATAACAACAGAGTTAGAAAAATCGCGTCGATGAATGTCATGGTGCAACGTAAGCCGCGACCAATGAGAGGGGAAATGCAGGAAGAGAGGGTCGGGCCAAAGGGCCACGTCGGAAAAATTCTCATTTGGGTCGCGACCAATGAAAGGCCAGGTGGGTCCTCATGAAAAACCTTTGCAGGGAAAGGGGCCACGCCTGTCAGCTTCGGGTACCTTAATAGAACGGGCAAAGGTGGGGGCAACGGGTGCATCTGCATCCGGGAATTAAGACGTATCGGGGTTAAAGAATTGAAAAAGCTCGATCGCGTTACCCTCCCTTGCGGAGGGTGATCTACCCAACTAAGCAGAGGTCATTGCACTCGATTTGCAAACCGACCAATCGAATATGTAACGCGAAAACAGAAATACTAGCGGGCGAGCGCGTTAAGGTGGAACGATGGCCGCGATTATAACCGAATAAAATACCGTGGAATCGCGCGATAAAATCTCGAGTGGACGTGTCGTCTTCGGTTCACGATCGCAGAATGAAAATGCGTGACGTCTGAAAAAGCGGCTGGGATAAAGAGAACACCGAAGACAAAGAGGAACTGAAAAGAAACGGGGGAAAAGGCAAACAGGGAGGAAGAAAAGGGAGAAAGAGAACCTTGGCCCACAGGCCTACTGCAGCGCTTGGCTGCAGCTTGCTTGCACACTGTGGCTCTGCCACTCTGCCATTCATGTGGGAAACACCCTATGTATTCGTGGGGTTGGGCCAACCACCGCCGGAAAAATTTCTCTTTCGGTGCATCGCGACGGCCCCGCCCCGTACGACACTTGGGGATGAAAAGTTCGATAAAGATTATGAAAGACTGCAATGCCTACCGAGGGACTTTTAGAAACTGATTCGTGGAAATGAAAAATTACTATCTAAATAAATTTTAACGTCTTGACTCTATTCAAACGAACTTATATAAAACCGAAATGAATTATTGAAATAGAAAGACTGCCGACTACCTGAATTTTGCAAATAAAAAATTTCAACTTAGCATATTGATTGCCACATCAGTTTTCGTGCTATTCACTTTTGTATATCTCGTTATAAGTACAGATACGAGTGTGCTATCATGCAGGTACCATTGCAGGTACAAGTAGAAATATTTGAATTAAGCACCGGGCCTGCTGAAACAAAATACCAAAAATCATCTTGGACCGCTAGAGGTTAAAGTTTGTTTGCTGTAAACGTTTTAAAGACCCGTTCTAAATTTGAAACACCGATCACTAGCGACCACTGTGGCAATCAACATGTTAAAACACAACATAGCAAGAAGTACGTACATAAGTTGGTTACTGTATACGACAGATCTTTACCTCGTCGCCAGGAACGTCGCTGCGTTCCGTCGTGCCGTGGAAATCCGTAAAAATAAAAAATGAAAGACGAAGGAACGTAGCAATGACGCATAGATACACAGGCTGTCGGTGTAAATCGTAATACATGTACGATACAGGTTTTGCATTTAAAATTAATCCTTTTGCAGATCATATTCACTCTTTCACAGATCAAATTCACCCTTTTGCGGATCAAGTTCTTCTACAAATTTGTTTTCTTAAGCTACGGAGTAACGATAAAATCCGATGCGAAATTATTATTCTGAAATAAATATTTTATACTATGTAATAATTCTTAAACAAAAAACACCGTAAAATTAACATAAAATACTTATTCGATCCTACGAATGGCCACCTTCTGAGTGCTAGCTCGCTAATTACGAATATAATCACAAAAAAATGACAAAATGACATTGTATTATTTCACTTTTGAGTCACCTACAAGGTGAATTTGATTTGAAAAAGGGTTAGGTTGGAGTGCAAAACCTGTACTCTGGAGACGGTTCAAAAAAACTATCTAGATAAGAACGTCGAACGACCGATAATAGACAAATAATTTTCGAACGGCGTTGTTCGTTGTATATAAATTATTGCGTCGAACAAATACAATCGTAATGCAAAGTTTCTTTCTTTGTTCGTTGTTGTCGTTCGAATAAAATTTTGCTGATCAAAGAAATAGTGCTTTTTCTGATTGGCTACAGTGGTTTTCGCGAGAAACTAATATGGCTCTTACCGACAGCGAATACGGGCACGTTTCGTGTTGTTTATTTTTCGAGATTACATCGCGGCGTTGCAAAATTCTGCTCGCCTGTCAGGATGATACCAATCGAGATATAATTTTTTATCGAAAGCTATGGCAATAATATGAAAACCGATCGAAAACACGTACTATCTCCTTGTATTACGATTTAACAAACACCCTGTACGGAATGTTTCATTTATCTTGACCTTGGAATCTCGGAGAAAAATGACCTTGAGGTAAAGAAGTCATTAAATCGCGATAGTTTTGGAGAACGATAACTGTATAACTGCACAGATTTTGTTGTGTCTTTCCAAAGGAGACACCATGACGGTCAAAATAAACGACACCCTGTACATCCTGTATCTATCGGACACCGTTCGTTCGTTCGTCGGTTCGTACGTCAGGTCGCCGCTCCCTGAGAGATCACTGCCCTCACGCACACCCGGTGCCTTCTCTCGTTCCTTTGGCCGGTCGACGTCGTGTGTTCCTCCACCGCGACGACGGGGGTCAGGGATGTACGACGAAATCCGCGAGCCCGCAGGGAACAACACGCGCGAAACGTTTCCTCAGTACGATCGGCGAATAACATGTTCTTCGCGATGCTCGTTACGCGTGAAAAGCACACGAATAGTCGACGTCCGACACGAGAGAAAAAGAAACTAGTAGCGATGGAAACGATTCGCGAAATGTTTCACGAACAATGGTCCGATGGTCGACGAGTGAACATTTATCGAAAATGTTCTGTGCGCTATCGAACGATCCCAAGACGATCGTCTATAATTATATTCTATCGTACGATCGTCAGGCAGCGTTGAAATTGCGGGAATCGAAATGCATTTCCAACAGTTAACACACACTGTTCGCGAGATCGGTGTTCCCATCGCTACGTACCGAGCTTCCCTCCCTCGAGTCCGAATCGTCGAGACTATCGAGCCGTCTTGACGATCAGACGACAAACGACCGCCAGACGTAACGATCACTCGCGAACGACCGTGTGAGTTTCTTCTTGTCGAGAACCGGCCGGAAGCACGACGGAACTTTTCGTGGATGGTCGATACACACAAATCCCGTCGGAGTGCACTGAGTATTTCACGTCTTGCCCGCACTTTTCCGTGTCCTCGCGAATATCGCGACACAAGGAGACTGCAGCCACCCGGATCGCAAAAACCCCGTTCTTTTCGCGGGAGAAAGAACGAGGGATTTAGAAACCCCAACTCCCCCCGCCCCGTACCACGTGTGTGTGTATGTGTGTGCAGGTTCAACGCACACCACGACGGACATTGTGTATACGTACGAAGGGGAACGATGTGCACAAGCCGGCGACGAGACGACGATTCCATTCTTTTGCTGGCACGCGTGGCAGCTAGTCGAATGAGCGCAACGTCGCCATCTGTATCGCGATTTTAGCAGCAGGATTTTGCGCGAATTGACCGACGGTTATCGCGATGGAGGGGATACCGGCGCTTGCGCAACCATCTGTTATCACGAGGTTAACACTTTGGCAATTGCATGCAATAACGGGCATGCTCACACACTCGTATTGCACGCAGATTCGAAACAATTCCAATGTAATTCAAAATACAAAACTGTCGAAAGTCTTCAAAACTCACCGAAGTCCGAAATATTCAGAACTTCCAAAATGATCAAGACTTTTAAGACTTGGAATTAGATTCGAAACGATTCGAGTTTTCCGCCATTTTGCAGATTCGAATCGATTATCACTGCACTGCTTGCACGTCGGATTCGTGTTCATCAGAAACGGACAAAATTTCGATTAATAAAAGATTTTTGTTCAACGAGCAACGAATACGAAAGCATTCCAAGTTTTCATCTAGACAATAATTCTACCCATCTTTGATCAAATGTTTCTAATAGTTTCTATAGTTTTCACGCTATATACAAATAAAAATAATCGATCTTTAAACCTCATACAGGTACCATTCTTTCACGAGAAGAAAGCACAGCGTGTTTACATCCCCATTCCTGTCGCAGTTCGCTGACTCACAGTTATTGGTCGAAATCGGTGACAGCCAATCAGCGGACTGCAGCAAGAGTGGGGATGTAAACACGCTGTGCCTTCTTTTCGTGGAAGGACGATATGTATCCCCTTAATATCACCTGAACCAGCCTTGAACTATCATATATTTGTAGTATTCGTGAACTTGCGTACGAAATAAATAATTATTACCATGCACTTTTTGCAAAATTTAACACATACCTTAACGTTGGTCTTTTGTTAGATGCTCGTTTTCCAATTCGTGAATAAGATTAGATTCGAAACCGTTTCAAAACTTGTATAGAACCTAAAAAATAATGATTGTAGGGTCTATATGACAGTTGATAACCTATATTATAACATTTTTGTGTGAGATATGTGTAATTATGAGATTTAAAGTTACCGATGCATTATGGAATCAATGGAACGGGAAGGATTAATGTATACAAGGTGTCCGGGCGTCAGATTGGCTCATTAGTGTTGCCTTTGGATTGTTGTAGCATCTGTTAATCCATGAACTAAATATATTTCCAATGTCCCAAGAAATTTTGTATTTTATAACACACGCTTCGTCAATACCAATAGGTCTATGGAATTTTTACAGACTTTTATTTAAAAGCAATGTTTAATTTTTAAAATAGGGGACACATTCAAACGATAATTTCACCGGATACGATACCGCGTTTAAAGCGTATACATAGTACGTTTGAATGGACGATAAAAAAAAAAAAGTACAATTTTTTATAAATGTTGCACCAATTCTTCTTTTCTTTCTCGTAATTATCCGATGCAATTAATTTATATCAACGATTAATATTTGTAGGCAAGGGAAAGAAGAGAAAGTAACGTAGGAATTTTGTTGAATTCATGAAAAATAAAGACATTTAGTTCGTTCGTTATTTTTCCCTTAATCTGTGTTACTTTTATTGGTATGTAATACGTATAATAATATATTTATATATTTATATATATTATATTCGTCAATATCGAATATATTAATATTTTATCAGTTTTCTCTTTCCATAAATTAAATAAATAACTCTTGACTGTGATATATTATTAAACAAAATATTTTACAAAAGTAAATAGCTGTAGATTGCCAGGTGAAGAGTGTGAGGATAGATGTTACTATATCGTCTATTCAAAAGTAACTAGACATCCGAAGCGCATTATGTCGTATGTGATCTTTGGCGAAGTCATGATTACTCTTCGTTTTTCTTCAAATACAGAAGTATCTGTATGTACGTATATATACTTTTGTCTGGCAAAACTCGTCCGTGAAACATACGACAGACACATATTCTATAAAAAAAAGAAACGATAAAAACAAATCGAAAAAAGAACGCACAATGATTACAATCCTTGTTAGCGATATTTCGGCCGAGAATGTAATTCGAAAGTATCGCCTCGCGTGAAAGCATCTCTTACGTATGCTGAAGGCTACTCGTATTCCATAGTTCCTTCAAAAATACATAAAAGCGTCCGGTCACTAAAGAAGCCGTAGGGAAGGGGATCTTTGGGGCCAATCGAAGATTCTGCGGCCCGAAGAAAAAAAGAAATCTACTCGAGAAGACATGATTATCGCCAATGTCACATCGTACACGCGCTCCGTATTTCTCGACTCGAAAACGACCCGGTTGGTCGTTCAGTGTTTAGTCGCTTTTCAATACCAAACGATAAAGTAGTATTTATTACACTATGCTGGACTGAGGTATCGAGAGGCAAGATGGTCGTTTAACTCTAAGCATGGCGTAAGGTTACAAGTGAGAGCTGTGAGGCTGCTGTTCGTAAAACAACACGTAGGCTTCGCTGGAAACGACCGATCGCGCTGAAACGACGGACACACGGCTATCGTTGTACTCGTGCCATTCCCCCGAGTACGGATGCTTGCAATACGCGGTGTAATGGCCGGAGTACGTGGTACCCGAATGATTCGCGACTCCGTACAAATTGTATGTACAGCCCGGAACTCTGGGGGCGGCAAAGGCACTGAGATCCAATCCCGTCAACGGAAAGTCCACCATTACGTTTAGCTTGCCGCGAAATCGTTCCATGGGGGAGAAACGTTTCAAGTCTGGAAACGATACGTTAAGGAAGATACGTCTCGCAGAGTCCGAGAAAACTGTCGTTTGAAAAAGGATACGAATAACGAGGATCTTCGGGAACTTTTGTATGCTGAAGCTTTTGGTACACTTTCTCCTCATCTGACACTTGGAACAGGTGGGCTTCTCGTCGCCATCGAGAACCTCTTCTCTGGTAAAATGTTCCAGACACTGACTCAACTTCACCGTGCCACTTCTCGTTGGTATCGGCAGACTCAAGTCCCAGAAAGGATCCAACGTTACGGACACATGGTCACAGGAGGTGCAGCGCAACGAGGAGCGTAATTGACCAACGAACACATCCACTATCATACTATCCTCGCTGCGGAGATAACGTTTCCAGCTCTCTACGGCCTTCTGGCTGTCCCTATTTCCAAAAAGATCATGCCTCGCTTTAGACAAAGTTTCTAACGACTCGTCGGTACGCGGTACCTGTTACTCGGTACCCCGGTTATAGAACAAGCGTACAAATATACTTCAAGTTCTTGTATTCGTTAGAATTGTCTTGTTTATACTTAAAAATCTGTACTTCTCTCGCAAATATTAAATATAAGCACATAATTAAAATTATACGTTGATATTCCAACGATCAAGGAAGAGTTTCTTACGTGTACATTTCAGGTATATCTGTGTGTATCGGCTGTGGCTTCACCGTGACCCTGTTCACGTCCTCGTGTAATCCCTCGAGCAAGTATCTGAGAAACTCTTGAGCATCTTGTTGGCTATACCCCATGAAACGCGGGGCGAATCTTTGTATCTGAGACTTGAGCGCCGTTGTGTTCACCACGTGATCACCACCAACCTCCCACAATTCGTGGATCACCTGGCTGAACGCTTTTATGAGGGCACCCTTCATACTGGACGTGGTGGTATTTATGTCCGCCAGATATTGCTCGTTTAATAGATACTCTAGCAATGGTCTCGTGTTACTCAAGCATTGAATCACGCTGTTCATGAAACACTGCAAAAAGAAAGAGGGAAAGATTTATAGGACTTGCTTACTCAACAAAAAAAATTAGAGAAGATTCGTTGCTCGATTCAGTGTCTAGGTTTTTTGTTGTTATATTTTTAGTTAAAATTTTGACGGTACGTTCGTCACTTAAAATACTGAAACGTATAAAATGACCGCAGAATGATTGTTGTACGACGCTGATACTCACTGTGTTCCCAATATTTCGCAACCCATTTAACCCGCATCGCTCGTCACGATGCGCTTGTAGCCGATTACGTGTCGATTTATTTGTCGGGCTTCCGTCCTGTAACGCAAAGCAACATCAATCTTCGTTCGATACGGCTCAGAATACGTTGTTTCTTTCGTGTTTAGGATTCTACGTCTCTACAGGGATTGGAAACTGTCAAAAACTGTCGCGTTTCTTTGTAGAAAGCATGGCAAGTTAATTCTTTAGTGGTTCTGCGGTCTAGCTTGCGCGACACTGCAACGACACTCCTTACGACAGAAATCTATAAACATTCAACGAACGTTGACAATAAGAGGTATATAATAGATAGGTCTGGGTTAATCGACGACAGGGATGAGCACATTCGAACAAAGTTCTAATTGAAATGTATCTGAACCAACGAATACAGCTCTCGAGTTACAGGGTCTCGAGTTGAACAAGTTTTGAATTCTCGTTTGAATACTGGTTTTACAAAGTTATTAATAGATTTTTATTTGTAAACTCTTAACGAATGCACAATTATGCATCGTCTTATAAAAAGAGCGTTATTATTATGAAGTTATTTATATACAATTTGAAGAGCAAACGACACAATTATACCATATACGCATAATTACATCACACGTTCGGCCATTTCGATGAAAATTTATTCGTGTCTCGCGTATTACCTAAGATCGAAACGCACTGAATACCGAACCGAATGAAGTGTTCTGCTAATATATTCGGCATTGACTGACCAGGCAATTATACCTGTGCACACATTCTGTATTCGACGACGAGGTGGAATAAAAATATTCCGTGCTCTTCTACAATCGAACCCGAATACAAATTACTAGCGTTATTGTCGTTCGAATTCTGTTCATCCCTGGTCGTCGGGGTTGCAAAGACGTTGTATTAGCGTCGATGGTAAAGACAAACCCTCACGCGGCAAAATCATTGCAAAATCACGATTTTTATACATTGCACAAAAAAAAAGCGGGGATCGAGAAACAGTTATATCGATTTCGGTTCCAGAAACAGTTAAATAGAACTTTTATTCCGAGTAACTGTTACGCGGAATCGATAAAAAAGAAAACACTTGGTTTTTCTTAGATTCCATCAACGCAGCAAAATCATTAGTTAGCCATGGTTAGGTCAGGATCGAAAGAAACTCCACACACGGTACGTACGTTTCTTGTTGCGTTCGACCTCGGCGTGTGGACAATTCCGAACAGAAAGCACGCCGTACATAATACATTGAGAAAAGGGAAGACGGTGTAAATGTAAAAGGCGATAGACAGTCGCGAAAAATAAGCGGTACATAATGGCAACGTCATTGCGCGCTCGCGACGCGGTCTCTCTTTCTCTCCTGTGACGCTCTCGTAAATAGCGATAGAACATACGAAGCACTTCGAAAATCTTTAATGCCTCGAGTCTCGAAGGTCTCGATAGATTTGGGAGCGTTACGAGTTTCCGGTAGTTGATCGAAACATAGAAAAGGCAGTAAAAGAGAGATATTCATCTAATTTCTGGTAAAGAGATTCTCTTTTTCTTTCTCTTTTCACCGATTCTATTATACAACTGCTATCGAAACTCTGAACGCTCCCATATATCTATCAAGAACACCGAGACTCAAGATATTCAAAACATTTGAGGCTCATCGAGAGTCGAAAGCTTCGAAACGATTCGAACGGTCCTCATTGCTACTGGTAAATCTCTCTTTGGAACACTCACCTTCGTGCGACTGGCTGGAGGCTGTTGAGGAGCGCGAGCGGATAATACGGATTTACCAAACTGTATGGAACAAACACCGGCGTGGACGCGATGTTTATCGGACGTCAGAGGCGCCGCGATACCCAGCAGGAACGCGTAAACGAACATTAAGGTGATCACCACCCACACGCACCACAACCCCCAGCCTATTATTTGGGTGTAAGCCAGTTTACGCGGCGTTAGTTTTCGGGAATCAGTTCCGGCGGCACCGTCGAATTGCACTCAACTTCCGTCGAACTTTCGTTTGTTCGACGACACGAACGAACGGAGGAAACAACAAGCATCGTTGGACGCATCGATGGGAAAGGAACGAACGACGATGTCCGCGCTCAGTGATGTTTCGTTCGTATGTTTGTTTCTCCCCAGCCCCCGTCACACACCCGTAACACAACACTATGCTAAACGGACAACGGTGTCCGGCTGTGGTCTCGACGGCGACGGTCCGCACGAGCGATCAATCTCAAGAGAGTTTCCGTCGCGAAAAAGATCGTCGATCGATGGACTAAAAACAGTCGCACGGACGCGTCCCCCACGGTCGCTTATGCGCACGGCGTATAAACGCGTACTCGACACACGAGTTGCCACGAGGTACCGTTATGTTATGAGAGATCCGTTGACCGCGCTTCTCTGCGCTCCCCCGGTGAGAGGAGCTCTGGTCTATTAATAAAAACCAGCAACGTGGACCCGACCGTCGACGAGACTCTTGGTCGAAGAAAACCTTCAAGGGGCCGACCGGGCTTGTTTCGTAACGGACGAATCCGCGATCGCGCGCGTTAAATGGAACACGTTTCCGACGTACGTCGCCCTCGTATCTCTGCCCTCATGACTTCGTACCGTGCCACTGAACTTTCCGTAGACCCGAGGGAGAAAAGGGCGGTCGGTCATAGCCGCGCGCGCACGTGGCCCACGAACGGGACAAAAATGCGAAAAACCTGGACAAATTTCCATTTTTTTGATAATGGAGTAATTTCTGATCGCTGTTAAAGAAGAAATATTTTAGAAAGTAGACAAGATTCTGCTCTACGAGGAAGAAGTGTCCGAACGAAGGTTTGAATTTCAACATTAATCGAACATTCTTTTAGCGTTTTTAAACGATTGGACAGTTTTTGTTTCGAGCTTTATTACTCGCGACCCTGCTTTCGTACTGCGTGCTTTTTTTGGTGCTGTACCGTGCTACGAAGCTGCTACATAATCGAGAACGCATAGCATTCGATCAACACGAATGATCAAATACGTTTATTAATAATTAAAGTATCGATATAGGGGCGTCCGTGTGAAGAACTAAACGAATTCAACGTTTTTAACCCTCTATAACTTCGTGACTCTCGAAGGCAGAGGTGCGTCGTTTATAACAGACTAAACTATTTATCCGCTACTCGATAAATAAAAAATACAAGTGTTGAACGGATAAGAATTTAACCGATCAAATAAATTTCGCAAATAGGTTCCTATACTCTGGTATCATCAGTTATCTGTTATTCGAATAAAATTGCGGATACAGTCGATACTATGAAACATTATAATATAAAATAAAGGAAGCAAAGTATAATAAAAAATACAAGTATGTTAATACGATGATACAATCCCAATATTTAGTTAACTCTCTATTACATAAATTTCATTTCATGGTTCGAAAAAGAAATTATTCTCTGATTATTTATACATTCATTTGCGAATAAATTAGGTTTAGAAACACAACCTCGGATGCATCTTGCCTCTTTGCAATCTTGATAGTTACCGATGAATATTTATCTTACGCGTATAATGCTGATCTCCGTGTACCAAAGATATGAAATGAAATTAATTCATTCATTTATGCTCGAGGTAAACAATCGGTGTGACTGAATCTGCGGAACTACTAAATGTTCTCATACAAACAAATATGAAATCTGTGGAAATTTTGCTAAATTTTCTCACGAAACTTTGCACATATTGCTTTTGTTAAGTTTTCGATAAGACACATTATGCAATAAAGAGTTAAGAATCGGAAAGGAGAAAGCGAAAGACTATTAGCGATAATGAAATGTGGGCGAATCTGTAACAGGAAAGTAGACACTGGTTAAGAAAAAAAACCAGAAAGTGCGAGTTTTGTGAATTAGAAGTAAAGCTTCTGCCAGAAAATATTGGAAAGATATTGATTAATTCAAATATTATACGACTCGCATGGAAAATGTTTTCTACGCACTACACTTTAAGTATTTTTATATTAATTAATATATATATCTACATTATCGAATAAATATTATTTCCAGGAAGACACCTTTTAAAATCGTAGTAGAAATAGTGTTAAAGCAACAGTATGACTATATTTGCATTGGATACAATTTCTCGCACAGGAATGAATTTAACCGAAAGGTTGCAAGTGTTAAACTTTGCTTCGTTTTGTATCTTATTATCATCGTTTATCTACCTTCCATTGAATAATTATTTTCAAAAGTTAAAAATAATCTGGGTTATAGAGGGTTAATTGAATGTGGCAACGTCGAAACGAATAACTTTACACCATTCACGTGGACCTACGAATCGCTATTAATAATCAACCAGATTTCCCAAAGCCATATTTTGCCAGACCCGTGCTACTTGTTTTAACAAACACTATAGAGGATAGGCAGCTAGAGAGAAAGATAAAGCGAGCGATATTTGCGCAGACGTTTCGCGAAACGGTCGACCAAAGGAAAACAACGACAACGTTGACACGATAAATATCTGGATGAAATAGTGGAAATAACGAAAGCCGATGCTCGTTTAAACATCCATTACCACCCCAATTACCACGCGAGAAGTTGCACACAATTACCTCGATACCGGGGCCTCATGGAGTACGTACGATCGTAGCGAGCAAAATTTCTAGTAATTATTTACCATGTTAACGACCGCGCCTATTTCGATAACGTACGTACTTCAAATACGTTAAAGACGTTCGTAGAGAGATTCGTGCAAGAAAAGTCTTATCGCGCATCTGATGGGAAGAGTTTATCACGAGTTGCTGAATCCTGGTCAGATTACCGATACAATAACGAGAAACTTATCAGTCTGCATAATCAGATGCATAGAAGAATAAAAACGCAAGTTTTGTGGATGATTGCATAAATCGTCGAGGTCGTTAGGATGGTAAAATAATGACTAGATACTCGTGATATCGCGGGAGGGACGGTCCACTGATACGTAAGAAATTCACATAATCGTTAGACACTCACAAACTGTTCGACGACCCCGCGATAGACACTCTGGTGTGCCGTGGACGATGCAGTGGGCGAGGAGGTCAAATTACTACCAGCAGCGTTCGTGCTTCCTGAGAAATGACTGTCCGGTCTTCTGGACGTGGATGGCACGGCCGAATCGTCCCCGTAGCTACCAGAGGGTCTTCCGGCTACGCCGTTTTGCAGAATAGGCGGCGTGGCGCCTCCGCCGAACCTTGTATGATCGATAACATACGAGGTGGACGCATTTCGTTGCTCCTCGGGGTCGCGACGTATATCCGGATCGTCCGCGTGACCGCCTTGAAGGAACGCGATTGTATCGTCGATGCCGCGCATTACCTCGCTGTTCTCCTCGATCTCGACGTCCTCGGGCCGCGTGACTTTGTCCTGGCCGTTATTGATCATCAGATCCATGTTACTCGTGTTAGTGTCAAGGTTAGTGAGCAGCTCGAGCTTAACACCGATAAAACCAGCACCGCCAACACCACCGGGAATGGGCGACAGTAGGTTATTATGCTTAGCGGGCGAGACCTCGTCGGTTCGATGAGCGGCGCGTTGTTGGTGGTGATGGCGGTTGTTCAGATTGTCGTCGTCTATGTCGTCGTCGTCGTCGTCGAGCGCGTCGTCGTTGTTGTTAACTCCGTAACCGCAAGCATCCTCAGCGCCGCTGTTATTCCCATTGCTGTTGTTGTTATGCTGATCGTCGTCGGTATTATCGTTCTCGTCGTTGTCGTCGTCGTCGTCGTCGTCGTCGTCGTCGTCGTCGTCGTCGTCATCGTCGACGTCGTTGTCGTCCTCGTCTAGGTCGCGGGCGGTGCCGCGCTCGTCGTTCGTTACCTCGCCAGGCGACGCGGCACTCTCCGCGCGTACATGCCCGCTGGTAAGCACCGTGCTGCTGGACAGTGGTCCTCCTCCTCTCTTCGACCTGGACCAGAGTGCACCGCCAGCAGCGGCGGAGGACGACGAGGAAGACGACGAGAGCGAGGACTCGGGACGGTCTCTGGTCCGTTCGACGTCGCGTTCGTCCCCGCCGAACAGCTCCGTCAACGAGGAACCCGTCGAATGGTGTTTCCAATGGTGCGATCCGCCGCTGGTGTTGCTCGTCTGGCGGATGTTTGGCACGTAACCGGACGGCGAGTACTTGCTGATTATGTCCGCAGCGCTGCTCACTGCTGTATCGTGCCTTGATGACGACGATTCTTGCGCTCCTCTGTCCCTCGACGATAGGGAGATGCTCGACGAGGACGACGACGTGGACAGGCCGTATCTACCACCGCTGCTGGTCCCGTTCGCTGTCACGTTCGTGGTGGACGTGCTGCCGCCCCCGGTGCCCGTATTGCTGTACGCCGACGACGAAACTGACCTGCAAAGTTCGTCCAATGTGAATATTGCGAACGTCGTTTCATTCGGCTGGGCCCGCGGCCAAGGGCTAACACTCCTTCTCTCTCGTATTTCGTGTTATGCAATCATCGCGAGCATACACGCAACCGCTTATAAACACACGCACACGCAAACTCTTGTGCACTCGAATAAGTATAAGCGGCTTGTGTTAGTAATGGCCCGTTTGCTCGAACCGCGAGAGCCGGAGACTTTTTAAACGCGACCAAGCAGACGCGAGACGAAGCAATTTTTGGCGGCTAAGAGAAACGGGATGCAAGCATTGGGGGATCGTGGATACGTCGATAAGGACTACGGATGCAAAATTACCAACACGCTACTCGTCGACAGTGATTGCGTTACGATCACGATCACGGTTGCGACTCAACTTCGTTCCCGGCCGTGATCATGATTCTTTCGTTCTGAGTCACAGCGTGCTCGAGTGAATTTTAAATATTAAAAATAAATCCAAAGGGCCCATATCCTGGCGTTCGTACATACATCGTACATCGATCGAAAATTCCCGCCTGTTCGGTGATTTTTCTGGCGGTTCGTTTATAATTAGAAGCGACGGCGCAGTTCGTCTGTCGCGTTCTGTTGTAACGCGAGATCTGCCAATTGTTTTCTTTTTTCGTGTCGAAAGGGTGTTTTGGACGCCGTTCGCGGAAACGGAACACGCGACGGGTGAACCGACCGATTAGCTAGAATTTTTAGACTAGTTAAAAAAAGACTCCCGATGGCCTTGGAGCTTAGGTGATTCCAGGACAAACAAAGCTTGACGGGTTAAAACTATTTCAGTTGAGAGAAACGAACGCTTCTGGCCCCGAGTTAACTGGGACGATCCGGACTCGTAAGGGATCAAACCGCGGAAAGAATTGAACTCTAGAGGCGTCACGACGAAAATAATCATCGGGACAACCACTTCACCGACCGTCGATCGGAAGAGGCGGAAAGCATCGTCGAGGAATTTCTTGCGCGGTCAAGTCGATGTCGCTGGCCTACATGCCGACCAGAACGATCCTCTTCGGGGTTTGGAGGTTACTAAATCAGACGCGTAACACCGTTTACGTACGGTGGATTTGTAAACGGTATCTGATACTTGAATGTACAAGTCGAGGAGGAAGATCTTTGGGGGATCTTCAGCGATCGTGACACGGTTCCAGGAGAAAGTAATTTCTCGCTGAGCAGAAGGGAATTCACCGAGGTCAAGGACTTCGATCCAATGATCTAAATCGATCGATCGTAGGCGTGGCTTCAAACTTCTCATAGTCGCGGATCATTTTTTGAAACAAAGAATAAAAATATTAGATTTTTTCCTAAAAAGAATTTTTGAACCAATGTCTAGGATAAAAGTTATTCCAGGAGCAAATCTAACATTTTTATTCGTTATTCGAGAATAACATTTGCCCGACGATTCGACGTTTAAATGGGACCCACCCGCACACCTCTAGTTACCATGCTCGGCGTGGCCCATTTTACCACTGTTCGCCTCGACCATTGTCATTAGGGTTGTCAGAGGCCACGGAAACAGAAACTTTCGCGTCCAAGAAATTGGATTATCGAGAAACGAACAGAAGCAATCGGCGCTTTGCCGAGGACATCGTTGGGCACAGGTACCTGTTGCCCACGGTGAATATTTATAACGCAGTATACCAGGGAATAGCGTGAAAGTGTCTCGTGCCCATTACGTAGTCATGTTGTTCTCTGGAGAGTGCTATTGGCACGAAAATAATTGGTGAAAGGGAAAGGAAATCGATGACAATTGTCCCGACTCGTGTCACGTGGATCACTCGCTAAATAAGCATTTTCTTTTTTTATCTCTAACCGTTTTAGGGATAGTTTTTTCACAGTACGTGGGGCACCCTGTATATCGACGATGGCGTGAAGAGAAAGAAAAAAAGGCAACAAAATTAGTACAGGATGCAAAAAATTATACACAAACGGTAGCATGTCTGGACCCATAATTTTGTTAGGGAGTGCATAAATACTCTAAGTAATATATTTACGAAAATATTGTTTCGTTGAAATAATTATTTCCTTTTTTGTTTCTGTTAATTAACACGTTCACTGCCATGGTGGTCGCTCGTCGTTTGTACAGTTTTCAATAATATCGTCATTGGGAATGCTATAAAGTAACAAACACGTAATAGAAATAACGAATATTTATAATTTTTCGCGCTGTAGGTTGAAAAAGTTTCGAGGACATTCTCGAACATGGAGAACCGGCAGTCAACGCGTTAATCGAGTACACTTTGAATCAATCCTCTTGAAAACGACGTTCTCGTGTGACAGACGGTAATGGAGCGATGGCGTTATAGAAATGCGATCTCGTTGTTAAGCGTAATCGCGAGTGGAAGTAATCGAAAAGAGGAAACAGTGCGACGAGAGCCAGTGATACTTATCAGGACGTCGCGCAGCGAGGTATTTGTCCTGGAAAGCCGGACAAAACTATTTTAATATTTGCTCGATCTTCGGACTACTATAACTTTGCTAAGATTCTTTTTTTAGAATGCATGAATCTTTCACTCGTCCGTTCATTCGTATACGCTGAACCTCTGCAACAAGAGATATTTTATATTTATATTTATATTTTAGAGAGATTGTATATTCTGATAAAAATTAATAAAAATATAGATTTTCCTATTAAAAAGGACATTCTCGTCGCAATTAAATAATATCTCCGTTATGTGGTATACGCGCAAATGTACTGCGTGTAACTTTTCATAATGAATATACTCTACGGAAATTTTTTAAATCGACCATCGTCTGGATTTTCAGGACAAATATCCCATTGTGCGTCGTGCGACAACGAAGACAGCGTTGATCTCGTAATCGGCGACCTCGTTACGTTAACACCCCTTGTCAGGGATTGCTCACCTTGCGGGTGAGCAGCGAGACCGGCTGTACTCCGGCACGTAGTTCTTGCGGATGCTCGTGCCCGTCGTCGTTAACGAGTAGAAACTGTAGGGCCGATCGAGTATGAGCAATTTTAATATACTAACGCATTTATCGCGTAGCCTGGGATCGGCAGCACGCTAAACGACCCACAGAGATACGAATACTGATTAGATCTGACAGAAATAAGAATTTTTTTCGTAGACCAACTTGAGAAATTCTATTATTCGTACTGTTAATAAAGTTTTTGTGAGGTCGATACACGTCTGTGGCGCGCTTTTGCTGGCGGAGGAAGTGAGAAAGATCGTAGGAAGGTAGAAAAGGAAGAAAGAGGGGAGTAGTATTTGGTCCCGGGTCTGCTAGTGGACCAGTAAGGTTTCCCAGTAGGCCCTGCCTTAGACGACGGGGCATTGGGTAGTTGGTCGAGGAGTGTATACATAGGAACGGAGAGGTCGGTCAAGCGCTTGCGAGAGAGCGACTCCTCTGGTGGCGAGTACGGGAGGTGACGCCACGCGTCTATACTATCCCGCGCTTGTATGCTATCTTTAAGTTCTGTTACTGTAGCTAACATGTCTCAGAGGTTCTCGATCGGATTCAGATTCGCGATAAGGGCGAACCACTGCATCGCATATATCGAAACATGCGGTCCTCGCAATCTATTTACTCCATTAATAGGATTAAAATATCTTCTAGGAGACCCATATTACGCATCCATTCTCGTTGGTATCCAAATATTTCGGGTGCTCTATCTGTGTAGCTAAAAGCAATCTAAATCGTGACGCTCTTCCACCACCAAAATTTCTACCGTTAGAAAGATCCTGGCTTCTTACTTAAATCGTGACAATAAAGCTTGAAACAGTTTTGGTCCATCGAGTTTAAACTTTTTCTCGTACCTCTGCTCATTCGCTCCGTGTTGTGATTTCTAGCGAGAGGCGAGTCTTGCTTCTTTACGCTGAGCCAATAATCGAAACGATTCAAAATTATGAACAAATTTCAATGGACCTATGGAAATTTCGGTGTTGTTGAAATAAATGCTAAAAAAAAAAAAGAAAATGTACAATGGCTTTCGATGCAACCTCCTAATAAATATTTCCTTGAACGCGAGGCATCTTCTTGACTTATGGCGAAAGTCAAGCATAAAGGAAACGAACACCGGCTACCGTAGGCGTTTCTGGCAGTCTGAGCGTAATTGCCGATCCCTGGAATCCAATAGAATCCCCCGTACGATGGGGAAGAAAGAGAAACTCACCTTCTTGACGGGCAGTAGGATCGCCTGTACTCGGACGTGTAGCTCGAACAAAAGCCCGAGCTGCTCGACGCAGTGTAGAAGTTCGTCGGTCGATCTAGGATCGACGAAGTGCCAGGAGATCGATAGGTATTCAGCTTGGAGGTGGAGGTGCCGATGGCGGAGCTGCTGGTGCCGCTGCTACCGCTGGAGCATCGTCTGCTGGGGGAATGTGGTGCCATTGGGCTGGTGCTGTATGACACTGCTACGGCGCCCGCCTGGCCACCACGGTGATATGACATTGCACCCGGGTCACCAGTCTCTCAATCTCACTCGCACTCTCTTGCGCTCTTGTTCTTCTTTAGAAACTTCCTGAATCCCAACAATACCGAAGAACTTGATGATTATATGGTTAGGGCTTCGACGTTTCGATTATTTTCTATCTCTAGGCACGGGGACGAGGAACGTTTTGGAATCGAAAGGCCACGCTTCACGGATTAATGACACTGCTGAAAAATGGAACTGTTACCCCCACAAATGTCATAAATAAATATATAAAACTACCATCAGCTGCACAACAGTTTCCCTATTATACTCGTACGTAGTTATGAATTGTATATGCAATGAATTGGTGGTTGCCATTGAATAAATAATTCGTATACATCTTTGTATTGGATACGGTAAAACTGGAATATTATAACGATAAATTTACATTTGTACTATACAGTGTGGTAACGTGTCAAGACACCCTCCCCCCGTAACTTTGGTAGACACTGCTCTTGGTGGTTGGTGCGAAGCTGAAGATCTTGAAAACCAGATTCCGAACTACTGGGGGAGACTAAATAGCAAGAATAAGATTCCGACAAAGCCAGATCGCATTACCGAGCGATTAAGCCACTCGACCATGTAATACCCTTATTATTTTGACTAGCTCATGTTACTCGTACGCTCGGTTAGTAACCGGTTAAATCAATATCTCTGCACGAAACGATTTTCTCGTAAGTTTAGGAGAATAACAAGAGAAAGCAACCGTGCCGCCAGTTAAAGCTCCATTCCAGCTTTAGTTCTGACCTGACGCTGACCTTGCAACTCGAGCGTGCTACTTCACCTTGTCCCCCTTTTTCCACTAACCAGCTGGCCACGGAAGACTCTAGCCACGCTGCGCCCGCGAAACTGGGGAAAAAGTGAATATCTCTGTCACGCTGAAGCTGGAACTGCATTGCGTTATGCGATCAACCGGATATCGATTCGTTTTCTCAACCGAATTAAGGCCAATTCGCCTATGAACAAAACCAGTCAAAAATGTATATTCGGACCAATTTTTTGAGAACAACGATCAAAAGATAAATAAATGTTTATCTGTTAATCGTTGAAACAAAACTACAAAATGTAATGTCACGCAACTAATCTCAATATTGCAGAGATTTTCTATTCGTTAGAAATTTTTATCCAAACCAAAATTTCGACAATTTCTGATCGACGATGACTCGAACGCTATATTACCTATAATGCTGATCAACTGTTGCGTTACCGATTGCTGCGTAAAGAGAACAATTCTTACGCTACCGTCGGACGCATCGGTTACTGTTTCACTACCGTCAACTTCTGTGCCCACCGAGAATATGTATAAAACGAAGAAACGCCAAAGGTCACCAGGTCGAGTTAAAAAAAGGACCGAGGTGACCTTGAGCCGAGAAAAATGTGGTTCGTCGGGAGCCACTCGTGCGGTGGTTAATACCCGACACGCGTGCTACGGGTTTTAACTGTGTCGTGTACAAAAGATTTTTAAATGTTCTGTCAGCGCGGGCTCTAACCGAGACAGAATGAAAGGACGATTCATTTATCAACCCTTTTCGTTCTCGAGTCACCCCTGACCGCGACTAGTAGGTACACTTTTCTCTAAAACCCCCAAGTCACGTGTGACTAGCAACGGACTGTTCAAATCTTAGCTTTGAAATTGATAAAAGTTAGCTATGAAATGCTCCAACGTGTCCGCAGAAAATACGGAATGCAACGAAACGGTTGCTAGAAACAAATCTTTTACTAGCGAAGCAAATCAACAAAAACGTTTGCAAATTGCAAACGAGTGCACCAAACGGATGACGTTGCTTAATAAAGTTTCTTATATTTAGGAAAGAATTAATAATGTTTTTTACTGGAAATTCCAATACTACCTTTTGGCCAACCTAATAATTCTGTTTTCAGAATAAACGACGACGTAAAAGAACTGTGTGACCGTGCATGCAACGTTGAACAGGAAAATGCACGATCTTGCCAAATACCTGGCGTCAAGAAAGATTTTTCCCCAGGTTTGGCAGACATCCCAGTTTTCACCGGAATCGGACGCGCAAAACCAATATGAAAACGTGACGTCTTGGATTTCACCAAAGATAGTATAAACAAGTAATGCTGTTTAATACCCATACAGACGTACTCGAGGGATTTTTTCAAGTTGCCAATAATAGCGCCAATAATATAATCACAACTGAAAGTTTTGCACCATTTATGGAAGCGACTTGGTTATACACTGACTTGTAATTATTTTTTCGGATATTTCTCTGGTTATATCTGGAAGATGAAACATGAAAACGTTAAGTATAATAAACGGTTGAGATTATGCGCTATGTATAGCAAAGCTTCGGGACTAATTACGACAAGACATTACGGGTCATCTCCTACGTTTCGCAGACGAAGTCGATAACGTGGTTATGTAATAACATAAAGAGCACAATTGAAATTATGTAACTAATTCTACAATACGAACCAACCGACTGAGAGTCGACTGTGCGCTTTGATCACATTTTCAACTGTTGCAACCAGCATTGTTACGATGACCACATCCGGTACACGGGGTTTAAGGAAATTATTATGTCACAACCGTTAAAACGGGATTCTACACCTTTGGATCGAACAAGGTCTGTTAAAAAATTGCCACAAAATTAGCCTTGACCTACAAAATTATATTAAAGTTGCAATAATTCTTAAATAAACTAAGTATTTATTTACATTTAGAGCGTTTTCACCGATTTCAATAATTTTTAATTTTATCATCCTGTCTCTGGGGATTTAATCATAAACAAAGTTTCCATACGCATTACACGCGATATTTTCAAGAAGTAAGTTTACAGGTGGAAATATAGCTTTACTCAAGCGGAGGATCGTACAGATTGCATCACGAGGATCTATACACATGGATTCCGAGGGAGTAGATTATTTGTTTACGCAACGAAAGCAAGAAATCTTTACTCTTTTCCATTTTCTTACTGTCACGAGCTTTATAACCTTTCTCAGCAATTCAAATGAACATCCGTAGTTGATCGATGGTGATACAACGCGTATCAGAAACGGTTATGCCAATGCCGTTTGTTTTTTCCTGCTACATTTTCTCCCACTCAAAAGAGCAATGTCATTTATCATCGAGTAGCTGCTACTTCTTGCAAAGCTAAGCCTATCCTATAAAACAATGGTTTACAAATTTTTACTCCCCCCCCCCTCGTAGCTAAAAACGATGAAAATTTCTGTATCCCAAATGTATTCGCAAAAAATTGTTATTTTAATTAACACGTGATTGTACATTAATCAGAATCTACAATCATCGATCAGATTACGTTTTGCCCAACTATCAGTTGATCAAATACCTTCTCATGTTAGTACTTATTTTTGTAACCTCATCTCAACTTGGGAATTAATTTTGTTAGTTCCATAGCGAAAAGTTCTATACATAGGTGACGTGGCAGTCAAAGTGTCGAACAACGTTTCCAAGACCCTCCAGTATGCTCAGCGACGCTCGTTGCACACGTTGCTTAACAAGTACACGTGTAAGTACGAGGAATAGTATTGAAGTTTTCAGTAGTAACGGGTTCCGTTTCACGTGCAACTGCACTCGTAACGCGATTAATAAAATCGATTCGAATTCACCTATAAGTATGCTAGTCACATTCGAAGTCACCTCTCGCGCGTGTGTTGTATTGCATAAGATAACGTCGCTCGTGTTGGCCAATTTTAAGGCGACGCTTCTTTCCTTCCTGGAAAGAAGTGATTCTCCAATGTACAAAAAACCGTAATTTGATCCGGCTACACGAGGCCAGATACACGATGGTCGAATATTTCATGTTTTCCAGCGGCAACTGTAACAATAACAAAACGACAGAAAAGAAAAAAAAGACATAATAAAATATCACGCGGTTTCTTCACTATTTACAAGCATAAACGCACTTAAGGGTTGATATTACAATAACGTGAAAATTCTTCTTAGCTTCATGATATACAAAGTCTGATACTTTTCACAAGAATGAAAAATAAATAATTATGATGAAACTGGAGTTTGGTGACTGTGCTCTATATGTTATTCATTTTATCTCTCTTCTCCAAAAGGCTATTTGCTATCTCGGTTTTAATAACTGTATTTTAACACGACCATCCCGCTGGTTTTCCATGACTGGAGTTATCTTTGTCATTTGATCAAATTATACTTCCTATTTTATAGCACTCTTTTTGTTATTCAATATTCTATGAATATTAGGATTCCTTTGTTGTGAACGGTTTTAAAAATCACTGTAAATCAACGTATTAATATCATATATGTATAATATCCAACATATGTATCTAATAATTACTTTATTCAATGTATAAATATTTTTTTTTAATTTCATGAATCGTTACATATCAACTAGACAATCAATTATCGTTGACATTTGTAGATGAGTAATTAACCGCAATTAAAATTATGTATGGTCGTTAATATCTCCACAAGCATTCGCAGTGTTAAAATATCTTATTGTTTCGACGATAAAACTTATTAAAGTTTAAATTAACTCTAAATCTTCAATTAACATTCGTATCGATGCGAAACTTTCGGTCACGTGATCGAAGTGCCTCGGTAAATCTTTCATCTCTACATATAGTAATTCCCATCTTTGTTTCTCTCAAGGTATGTGTACGTAATTCAACGTGTCAGAGCATCGATTCGCGGACGAGGGAACCGTGTCTAACTTTCAATAAAAAATAAATAAATTTCAGACACGAAAGAAACAATCACAAAGTATTATTTTCTGCAGACATTCGAACCAAAGAACAAGGAAAGAAAATATATTTCGTCGCAGTCTCAAACAAACCGCGAAATTACAAAGCTATCGTAATCACTCAACTATCGACTCGATCGAAGGAAGCGTACGGTATTTAAAAATCATTATTCCACGAAACAATTTTATTATCAAACATTTTGATAGTGTATCACTACAAGTTTTGTCGTTTTCTTTTCGATTCTCGGTCTACGTGCAATACCATTCCAATTGATGAATAACGCTTCGTTTCTAAAATAAAACTACGAACGCGACAAGCATTTCCCGATACTTTGAATATTTTTACCGAGCTGCTCCGATTCGTAACCTAACCCCGTGCTCACGAGGCCAGAAAGAAGATGGACACAGCCGAATGGTAGTGGGAGTAAAAGAGACAGAAAGACGCTTTGATTCGGACGGCCTTTGGCATTTCTCGCGTTCCAAAGTTAAAAACTTTCGAGAACCGGGTTCAGGGGAATCGTAACTCACTCACGCGCCGAGTCATTCACAGAAAATGTGTAAGGGAAATACTCACGGCCCGATGCTTCCAAAAGAGGAAGTAACTTGGTTTCACTCAATATATTATCGCAGGGGGGAGGGGAATCTGCTACCACGACGATTTCACGAAAACGTCGCTGTTACGAACTGGTTCGCAGCGTAACCATGGTCATGCCGTGTACGCGAGAAATTTACGGTGGTTCATTGCAGGAAGGAAAAAGGGAGGAGAGGCACGAGCCATCCCTCGGAACTGTCGGTGACGTCACCTTGACGAATACTCAGGACTTCCGACGTGCCTGAGGTGAGTAGATAGTCGCGCGATGCAGTACGAGAACATCGAGGGACACGATCGATTTACTGCACGTTTACGTCGATCACGTTATACCGCGTACGAAACTGAAAAAATGATCCGGTGCCACCGTGTGTATGATATGCTTCTCGAACTCGATACATTAAGGTCGAGTTATTTACCTTTCTCCGGACACTTCCTTTCTCTTCCGTGGCCTACACCGCGCAAACACTTGTAACACCACGATATTATCACCACTCTGACGACTTTGCTAACGCAACGTGCGTGCAAACAATATGGCGATTACAAGGTTGCCGATTTCCGCGTTGACAGTCATCGCTTCGGCGACTACCGTATTCTGCGCTAGCGCAGACGAAAATGCTATCTCGTTTGCCTAGGGTGGAACGACGGCCTACCAGTGCTGCCACCTTATCGTGACGTCCATTATTTCAACTACCAATGATGGCGTCAACACCGCGTTAATTTTTTCGATTTAAATTTCGTTCATCGATCTATCGAAGTAACCAACGTTCCATAACCTTTTGAACATCAAATACTTTATTCTTGAATTCAATTAATTACAATACGTAGAAATTTTAATTTCGGTCTTAACATTAGTTTTAAAACTGAAATTTACTACGTTTTATACTTACCATTTCACGAATTCTCATTTATCTCGAAGAAAAATGGTTACCGCATAGTGAATGAAAACATGTATGAAAAATAATTTAGTTTTAGTTTGTGTTACTTAAGCTTCTCAAGACTCCTTGTTATGTTGTTTTTTTACGTATTCAATAGCAACTTAATAAACACAAGCAACATACTTTTGAGTACCATACTGTTCTTCAAATCTAATGAACTGTTTAAATATACTCCATTTTTCTTGGTGTCCAACCAGTGCTGCCACTGCATCGTGACAACCAGTATTTAAACTACCAATGACCGCGCTAACACTAAGAAAATCTTTTCGACTTAAATTTCGTTAATCGATCTATCGAAATGTCTACTTTCGCAGAAATGTTAATGTTTCGTCTCAGCGTTCATTTTATAATCAAATTTTCCTACACTTTATGCTTATTATTTCATGAGTTCATCTATCCTGAGGAAAGTTAGCTATCGCATCGTAAATGTAAACGTGCATGAAAAAGGTAACTTATATTTAATTCGTGCTATTCAAGCTTCTCAAGATTCCTTGTTACATTGTTTTTCTACGTATTCAACAGCTATTTGCTGAACACGAGCGACATTTTCTCCAGTACCATGCTGCTCTTCAAAACTAATGAACTTTTTGAATATACTCTTCATTTTCCTTGGCGGCAACGTTTGAACAACTGCTCGTTCCAGTACTTTCCTGTAAATAAAATGCAGTCTTATATAAATATTGTAAATACTCTTATTACGTTAGAAGAAAAATCGTTGATAAAATATTAACCTCGCAATATCAATGTCGTTAGATTTGATTAACGAATCTACGTAGCACGACCATATATCCACGCGCTTAGGATACGAACATAAAATTTGCTCAAATAGGGTCTGCGCTCTTTCTTTATCTCCAATCTTGTTCTCCAAAATTGCAAACTTCGCCATCAAGTTTACATCTGCATAAAACAATTTATGTTAGTATTATCATATCTTTTTATTTTTTTTTAGTATATTTATCTTTAATGTATACGTACGCTCAGATGCTGGCAAAGATTGCAATGCTCTCTGCATAATATGTCTAGATTTATCTTTTAAACCCATTTTTAACAATGCTGTGCCACATTCGATCCATACTTCAGGATTCTGCTTGAACTTTCCCACCATAGTAGTAACTATTTTTTCTAATTTGATCTGTCTACCAGCCTCAATATGTACCGTTAACATGTGAATGTAAACTTTCAAAGAATCGTTGGTTCTTACTGCTTCTTGAAATACATCGTTCAAAGATTCGGGAGTTCCGAATTTCGATTCTAAATTCAACCATGCGTTCCACACGTTTAGCCTCTCGTTTTCTTCTCTGAAATTAATAGTTTTAGTGGCTCTTCTTGCAACTGCTCTTGCTTTGTCAATTTCCGTTGCCTGCAAATGATAAGCCATATACTGTAACCAAATTATGGAACTATCCGGGCTTGCCAAAACCAATCTATCGAATTGATCGACCGAATTCGGCAATTGATTGCTAGCCAATGCTTCTTCTCTTTGGCGAATTTCACGTTCCTTTTGCCTCTCTTGCTCCCGACGTTCAGCAGCACTTAATTTCTTTTTCTTCTGCTTTGGTTGTTCCATCTCATCCTCGCTATCACTAGACGACTCTTTATTTTGAAGCAGATCTAAATTGGGTTTGTCGTCCCAGAAAAATCCACACTCTGGTATTCTAGACTTTTCCTCTTTGATATTATCATCTATACTTTTCATATCGATTTCAGTCGACTGTATGTCCTCCTCTTGTTTAACCGTATCGATGTTCATTTCTTCTTCCCTTTTAGCACGTGTTTCGTTTAAAATTTCGTCGGAATTCTCAACGTTCTCTTTTTTTACCTTTTTAGTAGATATCTTTTCATACTCCTGAAGTGTCTTCTTTCTCTTTAATATGTTACTTGGTTTTATCACTGGGTTATACTTTGCTTCAAAAGCAGATTTCACCATACAGATAGGCATAATATCCGATTCATTAGAATTCAACATAATATAACACCGAATTTTCGAATGAACAACATACGGTGATAAATCCGGTTCTACATCGTTCATATGACGTCGAACGGGCATTGCTGCCAAACAACCTTTACCGTGGCCTTTCAAAACAATTAAAACAAACCAGTTGGTCGCCATTAAAATTTTTCCTCGTATTACTTTTCCTTCAGGAACCTTTAATTGCTTCTTCTGCTTCTTACTTATACTTTTCATTACCAAAGGTAACATGGTCATTTCGACGACTTCGTGTATATAATTTTTCCACATAATTGTTCCAATAATTGTATCCCCAACTTTTAAACTTCCAGAATAATGGTTCTTGTTCACTATACCCAACAAGTTATTTTGCAATTGAACTACAAGCCCATCGGATGTAATTTTCTCAATTTTCCCGGTAACATTTTGTCCTAATGTAACCGCCGAAATTGGCCTATTTTTGTAAAAGGAATTCCCCGCTAGTTCTGCTAATTTATTAAAGTACAAGCTCAGAGTGTCAATCGCTGCCGTCATCCTACTTTTAGCATCAGGCAGTCCATCGTAAATTTCCTTTAGTGCGAGCGTTAAACCTAGTTGCTTCTCTTTTTTGTTAACGGAGATAATTTTTGCAAATAAAATTTGATTTATATGCAACAGATTAAAATGACTGACGTTACTGTAGGAAATATATCCGAATGGCGTACAATCTGTAATGGGTATAATAACTCTCAAGCCGTTTGGTTCAATGTCTCTAACCGAACAAGGTATACAATTGCCTACTTTTAGTTGGCTGAAATTTCTATACTCTTCTTCGGGCAAAAACGTTCTGGTAAGAATCAAATTAGGTACTGTAGCAAACACCAAAGCAACGAGAGTATCTCCAGGTATGCATTTTGATGCTAGTAGAACAGCAGTTTCCATACAAAGCGACATGTGTCCAGCTGGTAGAAATCCTGTGCTAACGGCTTGCCCATCGTTCTTACTGATTCTCAAGTACACCCCTTGAGTAGAGGATTCTGTAATAGTTCCTTCTACACGCTCCCCGATGACAAATACATTTTCTTCTACTTTTATCTCCTTAGTACCTAAACTTAGTATTATTTTCCCTAATTGTTCATTAACTGATTCGATCCTTACCAAAACTGTTTGGCCGATGGAATAGTTCCAATTAACAGCCAATGAATCTTTATCTAACATAGTACGCGGAATCCAGCCTTTGACATCGCCAAAAAATTTTACCAATAACCCGTTCTTTTTTATTTGAATAACAGTACCATGATGTATCGATCCGCATTTTGCTTGACGTATGTCATTTAAAACAGGCAAATCGCTTGTCAGTAGTGACTGCTTTAAAGTAAAATATACTTTATTTCGTGTACCGTTAATATCTAAAACTTTTGCTTCAACTTCTTTATCAACTTTTAATTTTTTTAGAGCGCTTACACCCGCGTCGGAAACATGTTCTGCTGTAACATGTCCGGTAATCTTCCCAGCTCGTACATTTAAGAAACCATTTTCCGTGTTGATACTTGTAATTCTTACATTTACTTTATCACCCGGTTTGAAATCAGAAAGCGAGAAATATCTCTGTTCCATTAACGAACACTGCATTGTACAGATATAAGCAGCGTCCATCCAACAATACCGTAATACCCTACATTTATGTTTGGTACCGGGTACGAATTTTTCGATAATTTTATCAAAATTAACATCTGTTCTTTTTAAGGGAACAAACCCTCGTATTCCATTCTTAGTTAATTTCAACACAACTCCGCCAGATTCTCTAAATAAAGCAGTAGCTCCTTCTATAATATCTCCTGGTTCAACGGTATTATCTTTAGGCTTATCTATTATTAAACTGAAATATCCAAATTTCACTGTTGGTAAAATATACAGCAATGTACCAGTAACTACCATTCCCTTTGAATATTTGGTTAAAGGATCATTCAAGTAAAGTTGATTTATATAGCCTACATTGTTTTCGCCAAACGAAATGTTCAAACCATTGGAGAGAACTTTTTTTACAGACAGTTCAAATTTTGTTCCTGGCATTAAGTTGTCCAATGATTTGATTTCAGTACCATGTACTGTTTCAACTAATCTTTCTTTCATAGATAATTTAATAGTCCATGTATTCTCACTTGTCTTAATTTCCTTTACATGGCATAAGAGCTGCTTACCTGGAGCTAAATAATGTTTACGCATTAATAACCAATTTAAATCAATATTTACAAACTTCTAAACTTTACTTACCTAAGCACTTATTATTGTTGTTGTCTTTGGTGGATATGAATGCCCTTACATTTGCTAACCCTGTATCTACAACATAGCCATGATCCTCTACACTGTTAATAGTACACACTATTTTTGAGCCACTTTCCAAGAAACTAATGTTCAAATTTTGATTTATCAATCGAGGTTCAAGGGATAATACAATTTGCCACTTTTCTTGTGACTGTATGCTCTTTACATAACATACAACATAATCCCCACAAGAATAAAGTTCAGGCAATGATCTAAATTCATTTGACTGATCGTTTACAGATTCAATTAAATTTTGTAAAAGATTTGTGTATGATTCGCTAATATTTGTAACTTGAACGTGACCCATTACACCACCAGGTAAAGATATAAGCATATCATATTCTGTTACTTTGAAAACACATCCCAATACTACCAATCCTTCGCAAACGGTTGTGTATGACAATCGTTCTGCAGTGTTAGCAACAAAATTAGCTTCACTCTCATTGTTTGCTGTTGTCTTTTTCTTCTCACGGTTCTTCTTATTTACTTTCCCACGTTTTTTAAATAGCTGTTGGAACAAAAATGTCGCATCACTGAAATAATCAATGAATATGATAGTTATTTTAACAAATTATATATTTACCGTATCCAAAGATTTCTCTTCATGCTTTTTTCCACCCCTTGGGAAATTTTTCAACGTCATCTACAAAAATATGCATTATTAGCATAATGTAAGTTCGCCAAGTTTATTAAACGAAAAAATACAGTTATCAAAAATACCGGTCGTTTATCGCACACGACGTGGTATTATATTTTTTAGAAGAATTATAACATATTTAATCACGTTTTTAGTCTACACGAAATTTACCTTGAAGTCTTTTTAAAACGATTATCTATCCGTGGAAAACGTATCGCATTCACACATGGTCGTCTTACCATCAGCTTTGTTGTATTCAGGTTATGTTACACCAACGAGCAGTGTGGCCAGATCGGGCATAATTGAGTGCATCGAAATCGACAACAGTGACGACGAACTTCCTTAGCGTCTAACGGAATGGTGGGGATAGCAGGCATACCCTACCGCACGAGCCACGTGTACGTGAGCTCGGCACTTCGCACAACTTCGGCAAATCGATAAAGAACGCTAGTGTGAGCCTTTCCTTCTTGCTCTTGTAAAAGACAAAACAACTGAAATACGACCTCGCGATAAGTGGCATACGATTCCAAGTCTCGACTGCCCCAGCATTTTTACTTTCCGACCTACATGTAAGGTATAAGGAAATTTATAAAGTATCATAATGAAAAAAAATTTCGAAATTTTTTTTTAGCGGAAATACACGTTTTGGGGCCCCCTGATCATATTGTGACTATTGAAAAAACGATATTTTTTTTTGTTCCTATGCTATTAACATGAATGCATTAAACGACTAAGTGAATTTCAATAACGAAAAAAATATTTCGAAATTTTTTTTTAGCGGAAATACACGTTTTAGGACCCCCTCATCATATTGTGACTACTACAAAAAAACATATTTTTTTTTTGTTCCTATGCTATTGACATGATTGCGTCTAAACGGCTGAATGAATTTCAATGAAACTTAACATTTAAGTTTTATGTTCTTGTTTTAAGGTCTCATTATATTTTAAGCGTGATCAGTTCCCATATAATGATGATTATACGTTTTTAGTTTTATAATTATTTCGATACATATACATCATTTGTAACAAATTTTTAAAGCGATTTATATAAATCTTAAGAAGGATTAAGATCAAATATACTTTTCTCCTATCTTTCCTAGACAGGAAAAATTAAACGAAATCTTATGCCTTGCATACCTACCTAAACCACATAAAAAACGTATTCCACAAATATTTTAGAATAATGTTGTTCAAAGCAGTCTTACTCGTAAAGGGTTAATTAAGGGTTAATTAAAATGAAAAACCACTCTTAGCCAGTACCGTGCACGCTACAGAAATAGATTACTACTGACTTTTCCCACTATGTTTTTTAATAACCGTATCAAATTGTTACACACAATCAAATGTTATATATTTGACTTAACTTTACATAACAAAATAATTGTAACGATAGGTAAAACAATAACGTGCACGCTACCGTTCAATGGAAACCACGGGAAGGTGGTGGTCACTTCCATCAGGAAGGAAATGTAAAAAATTGTTATTTCTTTGTAACATTATCACATGCCGTATATTAAAATGTTTTTATTAATGTAATGAAATTACAATATAATGAAAAACTAACTCGTGAATGCATTAATTTTTATTAATATACACACGAGCCATAAAAATGGAAAAATGATATAATTGTTTACATTTCCAAAGGATGGGATGTCGGGATAGGACGTTTGCGATTAAGCTGGCACGTTATGTCGTGCATTGTTGCTCTTACGGTACCGTGACGTAAGTGTAACAAGGCGCGACATTCTACGTCATAGCCACACTATCTACAGCAAGCAATTTCACTAACTAAAAATATACGGCAAAATATAAGCAAATAAATGAAGAAAAAAAATGATAGTTAGAGCAAGCAGAATAGTATTTACAGCAAGCGAAATACGTAAAAAAAGTAACAACGCGAGACAAATTGAACGACTATTTACATATTAGCGATGTCCAAAAAAAAATATTTTGGACATCACTAACAAGACTGCGGTTGCAGTGTAAGCGCTTTCGCGTGACGTTATGGCACATACATGCATCACACCTTGTTGCGCCTACGTCGCGGTACCGTTGACGTAACAAGACCAGTCTACCGCGACGTCGCATGAAAACGTTTATACTGTCATTGCAGCCTAATAGTACGAATTTACTAAAGAGCTTTTCTCTGGAGAGAAAAATCTCTCTAGAGAAAAGCTCTGTAGTAAATCGGTACCTTAATTTTCGTCATATGACGTAGCGGGAAAATTCTCAAAGTTATTGTCATATGTTGCGTTTAATCTTAAATTACACTTTTGCTTCTTAGCAAATCTATGATATAAATTTTTGGAATACAATAGAGCTAGATGATCGTCATCTACCTCCATGGGTTGAGAGTTTTCCCTCTGCGCCTTTAACGAAGATTTCACAACGCAAATAGAGTTGACGCTGGCCGAAGAAAGTTTATTCCGTTTCTTTGTTTTTATGTCAGGTAACATGGAAAACAATCTTTCTGCATCGGCATTGGAATTTGGAAGTGATCTAATTGTATTTACTAATTTCATCAATTCAGGAAATTTAATTTTATAGTCCAAATTTCGCGTTAATAAAATTGTTTTCCAGAAACCATCGAATTTCATCTCGATAAGCGTCTGTCTACCTTTCGTTGTAAATTCCAAAGGCAATACTGACCATTCTGTTTGCAGTCCTTCTTCGTCGAAACCGCCGAATTTCTTAGCGATTAAGAGAACATTTCTGAAGGAAATGTCTCTATTTGTATCATTTAATATAAAAGTGGGTTCAAAAACATACAACTTGCTAAGAAATTCGTCATCGATTGGCAATCGATGACGAATTTCATTTGCAGCTGTAATATAAAACATTAAACAATTTTTCCTTACGGTTTCTACGATGTCGGACTTGCCTTCTGCATTCAGTTGATGCAGAAAATTAAGACACTCTGTTCCTAAATTTATACTATTAAATGGGAGTTGATTTTCGACTACAGAAAAATTCATCATTCTTACTAAATCCATGTGTTTCAAAAGCTGCGGTTTCAGAAAATTGCGTAATATATCGCATAAAAGTTCTGCCGCAGTCTTTTGAAGCAAATGAATTCTTGTCTCTTGAGTTTGAAAGAAAATGCTAAATTTATAAAAAAACTCAAGAGCGTAATTTAGAAAATAAAGATATGCTTTGGCCTCTGGATTTTGCATCGAGATTAACAGACGTTCCCCGGACTCTGATTTCTCGCTTATTGTCAATTCTTGCAAAAAAAGCAATACAGAGTCCCAATTCTCTAAAAGTGTAACTACGGATGTATAATGCGATAACCATCGCGTAGAACACAATTTTAAAATTTTTCTGTCGGTTGTTTGAAAACATTGCTGAAATTCGCGGAATATAGCCGAACGTTTGGGACTACTGTATATGAAAGTTGCTACTTTTCGTAACAACTCCTCGCATATGTCTGGAATGGTATTGCACGCTTCGCGCACTACCATTGCAGACAGATGACACGGACAGCGGACAGTCAAAAATTTGTCCCTGCATTTTGTTGCAAGCTTTGTCATAAAGGACGAGTGTCGCCCTGTCATGACAGCAGCAGCGTTGTCACATGACAACGCGACAATATTTTCGAACGGAATTTCTCTTTCTATCATGGCAATTTCAAATGTTTTAAATAAATTATCTGCGCCACAATTTCTGGCATCAAGATGTAATAATTCTACCAATTCCGTTCGAACATCCAAAGTCTCGGGTGCAACATAACGAACAAGAAACGTCATCCATTTCTCGTTGGTCGAGTCGGATGTTTCGTCAATATAAATAGAAAATTTAGTGTTTTGTAAAACACTAGAAATACGTTTTGTTTCTAAAGGATACAAAACGTTTGATATAATATTTGAACACTTTGTTCGACCGAACGACATATGTTTCAAGACATCAGGATCTTGCCCAATGTCTTTGAAAACTTCAAGAATCGTCTCTGCGGTTCGATACGGAATATTTTTTTCGGCTATTAATTTGGCAAATTTGATTTCCGCGGATTTTATCCTTTCATCCAACGACAGAGGCGATTCTTCGGATTGCGTCGTAAAATTATTATTCAAATTGTCTGCGTTATCGTTACTCTTTTTATAATTCTCAATGTGACACTGAGAATCTGCATGATTATAAATCGTCGATAATCGACATGAAAATTGTTTGTTGCAAACCGAACAGAACCATGAATAAGGGTCGCCGTCGACTTTATGCAACCATGGCTTGAAATAATCATTCTCAAGCCATTGAGGCATAAAAGTCCTTTTAGAAGTACTATTTTTTTTATGACACCCAGATTCTCCGTGTCTATACACGTTTGAGGAACCGCAAGAATAAGACTTATTGCATAAAGTACAATAAAAACGACTTCTATCATGGGGTACTGCACGTATCCATGATTTAAATCTATGATCATTTATCCATGAAGATAAAAAACCGCGCTTACACTTATTCTTCGATTTCACAACCGTTTCCATGATATAAAAGCAGAAAAGCGAAAGAACAGAAAATTACAGAATACCTACGCGAAAGCTTTTTTTCAATTTAAATGTCTCAGAATGACCTACGGCACGTACCGTTAAATTTCTCCTGATGTTCGTCCTCGTCGACCGAATTCAACTGACTCAAGAGAAACAGCAGTGGCTCGAGCACGTGGCGATAGTGTTTTGTTTATATTGCTCGCGCATCGATGGGCCGTTGAAATGCCAGGACGAAGAAAGGACGTAGATATATATAGCCCAGTTCCCATAGGTTTTTAAAAGGCAATAATTAGAAATAAAGTTCTATTGAATGAATAGCAGTATATAGACGTCAATTTAATATATTTCATTTTGCAGAAATGAATTTAGAGGGGAATCAAAAAAAAAGGAAAGAAGAATATAGACGTTCTAATATATGGCATGTGATAATGTTACAAAGAAATAACAATTTTTTACATTTCCCTTCCTGATGGAAGTGACCACCACCTTCCCGTGGTTTCCATTGAACGGTAGCGTGCACGTTATTGTTTTACCTATCGTTACAATTATTTTGTTATGTAAAGTTAAGTCAAATATATAACATTTGATTGTGTGTAACAATTTGATACGGTTATTAAAAAACATAGTGGGAAAAGTCAGTAGTAATCTATTTCTGTAGCGTGCACGGTACTGGCTAAGAGTGGTTTTTCATTTTAATTAACCCTTAATTAACCCTTTACGAGTAAGACTGCTTTGAACAACATTATTCTAAAATATTTGTGGAATACGTTTTTTATGTGGTTTAGGTAGGTATGCAAGGCATAAGATTTCGTTTAATTTTTCCTGTCTAGGAAAGATAGGAGAAAAGTATATTTGATCTTAATCCTTCTTAAGATTTATATAAATCGCTTTAAAAATTTGTTACAAATGATGTATATGTATCGAAATAATTATAAAACTACAGACGTATAATCATCATTATATGGGAACTGATCACGCTTAAAATATAATGAGACCTTAAAACGAGAACATAAAACTTAAATGTTAAGTTTCATTGAAATTCATTCAGCCGTTTAGACGCAATCATGTCAATAGCACAGGAACAAAAAAAAAATATGCTTTTTTGTAGTAGTCACAATATGATGAGGGGGTCCTAAAACGTGTATTTACGCTAAAAAAAAATTTCGAAATATTTTTTTCGTTATTGAAATTCACTTAGTCGTTTAATGCATTCGTGTTAATAGCATAGGAACAAAAAAAAATATCGTTTTTTTCAATAGTCACAATATGATCAGGGGGCCCCAAAACGTGTATTTCCGCTAAAAAAAAATTTCGAAATTTTTTTTCATTATGATACTTTATAAATTTCCTTATACCTTACATATAGGTCGGAAAGTAAAAATGCTGGGGCAGTCGAGACTTGGAATCGTATGCCACTTATCGCGAGGTCGTATTTCAGCTGTTTCTCTTTTACAAGAGCAAGAAGGAAAGGCTCACACTAGCGTTCTTTATCGATTTGCCGAAGTTGTGCAAAGTGCCGAGCTCACGTACACGTGGCTCGTGCGGTAGTGTATGCCTGCTATCCCCACCATTCCGTTAGACGCTAAGGAAGTTCGTCGTCACTGTTGTCGATTTCGATGCACTCAATTATGCCAGATCTGGCCACACTGTTCCCAATATCCCAGTCGTCTAAGGCAGGGCCTGCTAGAAAGCCTTACTGATGAGTCCACTGGCAGGCCCGGACGAAACGCGCCCCCTCCTTTCCTTTTCTGTCCTCCTACGAATTCTCACGAGATCCCCTACCCGCAGCGAAGCAGCGCCACAAAATTTTACAAAATTTTTTTTTCATTATGGGTACTTTGCTTATGTGCGCCTACATAGGTCGGAAAGTAAAAATGCCTGGGCAGTCGAGAATCTCGGCTCGAGAATCCAAATCGTATGCCGTTGACGGGAGGTCGGATTTCAGTTGTTTAGAGCGAGAAGGCAAATGTGAGCCTTTTTCTCTCGACTCCCACGAGGCGATCCGAAATTACTTCGGGCAGCTTCGGAGAATCGAGAAAGAGGGCATGCGTCAGTTTGCCTTTGTCGACTTTCCGAAACTCCACGAGCTCACGTACGTGTATCTGGCATGTGTGCGTGTGCACCCGGCGGTGCTTTTCTGGCATCTCTGCATATACACATACAACCATTTACAATTTACATTAATTCTTCAACTACTTTAAATCTCGACTCGTTATGATTTAATTTTTGGTAAATAATTAAACAGCACTTTCTTTTATAAAATTGCATTTTATTTTATATTCTACACTTCTATATACACAAATTTTGACAGTATTTCTATACTCTTGTGCATCAGTGTTGGGCAAAATTGAATTACAGTATGATTAACGATTTAAATTCAAATGAATAATTGTAAATCAGACTAATCTAATTTTTGATCAATAAAAAGAATCATTGATTGTCAATCGTCAATCGCTACAAACTAACAATTAAATTATTAATCATACGACAAATTAATCAATTAATGCTAAACTCTGTTACACATTAGAGTTTAGTTTCCATACTCTTAATATTATAACATTTACGTTTAATCAGAGACTTGAAGGCCTATTCGCATAAACTTTTCTGTTCCAAGGGGAGGTATCAAACCTGCTATTACATATCTGTCTTCGTTAGACAGAAGATTGTAAATACCACATGCTGTTCGTACAGGATGTATTTCAACTCTGATATCATGTTCAGTAAATATGCTCTTTATGTCTAAAATTTTACTATATTTGTATTGAGTTTCAAGCCCTATGACTATCACGTCTGGTTTTGGATCAAGAACAAGAAATAGTGACAATGTTTTCTTATTTATATTCTCTCCATTCTTGACATTCCAACACAGAATAGTTTTTGGAAAAAGTGCAACCGGACCTATTATCGCTTTTGCAATGTTAAACTTAAATCCAATCTACAAAAATAACTTAGTCAGTGGCATATGTTCCTGTTATAGTATTTACACAAGTTTAATAAAAAATAATATACCGGTGAGCATATGGTTACCAAATTATTAGGATGCCCTCGTAAGTCAAGACCGTCGGCTAATATTTTGTCTGGATCCTCAGATACTTGTTTACTTGAATAGGAGTAACGGAATTGCCTTAAAATAATTAAATACGTTATTCGTTTATTTGAAAACAATGAAAAACCAAAATATTCATTAAGCTTTCTCTACCTGACATTCTGTAGTAATTGCTTAGTAACAAATAAATTTCTATTTAGAACCATTGTTTCGCCAATTTGTTTTTGTCAGACACAAACAAAATTTTTTTAACTGTAAGCTAGTGCCACCACGGTCAACCTCACGAACCAATACATATGATTTCTAATCGCGAATGGTATGCAGGGAAATATCCAGATTTGCGCAAAATGTATACTTTTGTATAAACATTTTTAATACTTGGTACGAATATTATATATATAGTTATAATTATAGTTATAATTCTTTCGTTGCTTTTGTTTATGAAATACATCGCCCGTCGCCGACTTAGAATGGAATAAGATTACGATGTTTTAGGCGTCATAAATTGAAACTAAGTTTGCCAAGAGTTATTAATTTGAAAATAATCGGAATCTCGAATTATTATATTAGTCTAATCACTTTTAGTTTTATAATAATTAAATGTATGTACGTAGTTGGGTATAATATTGAAAAACAAATTACTTAAAGTATCTTTTTTATTTACACAAGTACAATGTAACAAAAGCATATATTAATCGATACAAAACATATAAGAACAAAAAATAAATACACTGGATTTATGTCTCAATTCTACCAACAATTTCGAACCATTGTTGTAACGCGTCGCTTAAGACGATAGGCAGGGTATCCAAATCTCGAAGAATAATGTAAAACGGGAATGGGAAATTGTCCATGTACGAACGAATCTCCAATAATTTTCCATTTTCAAAAACTGGCATCCTTATATCAAGTATTGAATCCTGAAAAAGAATGTAATCAGCAACTAAAAATGTTAACGAACGTAGGTTATATCTCCAAACATATGAAATGCTGTAAGCACAATATCCTATTAATATCCTACTTTGTTAAGGGGATTATCAACAATTACGAAAACGAGGAAAATGTTCAATAATTTGGCCCTTCTCACGACTGCATTCACTTTCTCTATTCCTTCAGAAAATATTCCTCTGCCATCTGATAAAATGGTCACTAATTTTGCATTATCAGAATTATTTTGAGTTGTGAACATTTCTATTATGAAATCAAGCAACTGGCCGATCATTGTTTTCTTCTGTTCAAATTTCATCTCTTGAATTAATCTGTAAGTTTAATGTTTTTAACTATTATTTACAATTAACCTTTCAAGAGCATTTGGAGAATTTCTTTAACTAAACTATTACTGTATTGTGATGACTTTTAAAACATAAAACATGTATTATCATTTCTCAACGTGAAACTTGTACGCTTTAATGAATACTTTCTGATATTCTCACCTCGCACCACATTCTTCTGTAAAGTTTTCATTGAAAGGATGAAGGATATTCACTCGTTCTCCAAAATTAAGAACGGCAAGTTGCCCAACTTCTAAATAAGTCATAGCCTTGCCAATTAGCGAAAGAGATTCAAAAGCTAATTCCTTTGAATGGCTATCAGCCATACTACTGGAATCATCAATCGCTAGAACGATTTGATAGTCTCTCTTCGATGGTTTCGTACGCCTCAACCAAATCTTATCTTTTCGAAACTCACTGGCAATGTACGGAATCACTTTCCTCATGTTTATACGTCTACCAGTTCTGTAGTCGCCTTTCAAACGGGACGTTAACGTTGGTTCTAATACTAACCGCAATTTTTCGGACAATTCTCTGGCAGCTGATTCTGTTAACGCACTTATCGAACTCCAAGCATTTGCTGCTTCAACTGACGTTGATTGATGAGACCATAGAGTAAGCAAATTTTCAATTTCAGATCTCTTTTCTACGATATTGTGTACCGATACGTCGTGAATCTCTGTCTCTGATAATTTTGTGTGAATAGTAGACTCGTTTCCACGTAAAATGCGAGTTGTTTCTACCGTTTCACCTTCAACTTCACCACCTACTTTAATCTTTTCAATATCAGTCGATCTTTCGCCTTTAGCATCTGTCGACTTCTCTTTCTTACTTTCTGGTACTTTTACAGAATGTTCTTTCTCCACTTCGCTCTTTTCTTCCTCTACTATTGGTTCATCATCCTGCATTTCTATGTCATTGTCCTCTGGTTCATCGTCCATTTGATCGTTTTCATCTAAATTCAATTCAATTAATTGGTTAATTAGTCCACAAGAAAATACTTACCGTAAAAATATAATTCTAGTTTCACAAATGCTTCTATAAAGAATCAACATTTTTCAGTATACTTTACGTTATTTTTTTCTACTTAAGTTTTCTGTCCACAAATTTAAAAAAGTTCTACAATGTGAGCCTCTGTAGCTGAAATATCTCAGATTTGTTCAAAATTAATCATAGAATGGAATATGAGAAATTGGGCAAGAACGTGATTTTCAATTTTTGCACACGACTGTCATCCAAGTTGCGACAGAGTTGAAAGTTGGCATAAAATAAGTTGTTTTGATAAGTTGTCGAATTGTTTTTCACAAATAAAATTTAATATACCTTGTAAATTCGAGGCTTGTTTCTTAACTTGTTCTTCGGTTGCACCATCAAACACAAAATCATCAAATTGCTCTGTGTTCTTAATATGCTCGTAAGTTTCAGTTTCGCCGCCACGATCAGTATTACTTTCTTCCTCGTTGTGATCGTCTAATTCCTGTTGCATTGAAATTGTTTTTAATTTTTTCGCAGACGGTTGAACTTCGTCGAGCAAACTACGATTTTCGTCACTTTGGCCTGGTTTTCTTCGTCTTTCCCTTTGTTTCGTAGAGTTTTCTTCGCCCGAAATAGGTACATTTTTTTCATTTTTAGATCCTGAATGCCCTTCGCGTTCTTCTGTTTGCGACTGGCCAGTGCCTTTAATGATATGTTAAAATATTACCTTTAAAAATTGACTGAACTACGATAAAGTGAAAAAAAAAATAATATTTCTTTTTTTTATTGAAATTGAATTAAATGATTTGAAATACTCTAATACAAACGTTATTCATGACTGAATAAATAAACTAAACGATTTACCAAAGTTAATTACATTCTTACGATTGTTTTATTTGTAATTTAAAAATAATAGAATCATTTAGATTTTTGTACCTTTATCTTTCTTCTCATCTGTGTTCATTTCTGTAGGATTAGTTTCTGAATTCTCTTCATGTGATTGACTTTCTACTGCATCTTGAGAACCATCTTTCCTAATTTCAATTTCTTGTGCAGCATCGACTTCTTTGCTACTTTTATCAAAGCTAGGTGACACTTTTTCTTCTTCCTTCTCTTTCTCCTCCTCCACATTCTGTTGTTCTGAATCACTCTGTTTGTCTTCCTCATTATCTGTATTTTTGTTCTCTTTTCTTTTGTCACTATCCTTTTTTAAACCTTCCTCTTCTTCTTCGTCTTCACTATCAGTTGAATCCTGTTGTTCCGTTTTCTCTTGAGTTTCTTCTTCTTTGGATTCCTCGGTTTCTGTTTCTTCTGGAATTTTTGACTCTTTCATTTGATCAATGTCAAAAGGATTTTCTTCGTCTCCGTTTTCCTTGTCATCTTGCATTTCATCGTCCAAATTAACATCTTCTGGAAGATCAAATGGTTCTGGTTCAATTTCTGGTTGATCTTTTCCATGATAAGGATTTATATGATTCTCATCTACTTCAGGTTCTTCGAATTCATTGATCTCTTTTTTCTCTTCTTCTTTTCTTCGACCTTCCTGTTCTGGCTCTTCATCTTTGGTTTCATTTTTATCCTCGTTGTCATATTTGATACTCAACTCTTCCTCACCAGTTTCTTGTCCACTTCCTCTCTTTTCTTTTTCATCTTCTTTGCCTTTATTGTCTGCCTCATCGTCTTCATTTTCTTCGTCATCTTTCCAAATCTCCTCGTCGAGCTCATCGGCATTTTCGTCAGTTTCGCCCATTTCTTTATCAAGATCCTTGTCTTTGTCGTTGTCTTTGTCTTCTTCGTTTTGCTCGAGGTCTTGTAAGTGGCTATCGAAATTCTCTGACATTTCAATACCACTTTCTTCTTCCTTTACGTCCTTCTCCTCGTTATTTTCTTTCTCCTCGTTTGGACATTTCGTTTCTTCCAGTTGGTCTTCTGATTCGATATTTTCGGAGACGTCTTTTTGACCCTCACCATCAGCTAATCCCACGCCTCCCTCAGATGTATCGCCCTGTTGATCGTTTTCAGAAGTATTTGTATTTTCTGGCTGACAAAAGCCATTCGTTGCTAAGTCGAGGAAGACACTTAATTGCAGGTATAAAAACTTGCAAGTTAGACGGAATGAAGCCACTTGTTCGTGTAAATAATATTGTAGGAAAAGAATGTATTGTTTCAGCAGAGGCAGATACTCTAGGAGCGACCTAAAAAAATAATACAAATTATTAAAACTATTACTTATTTAATCTATCAACTCCAGAAACTACGCAAATATTTTAAAGGGAGCCTACATTCTGTATTTTATTACTGGTTATTTTTATTTTTATTTGCCTCATTGTATTTTATAGGTAAAACTTCATTATAGGTACATATGTATACATATGTAGATACAATTACAAATAGGGTTCACTTATAGTGATCTTGAGTAATTTATTAATATAATATAATTGATAACATTTACCTGATGCAATAATTCGTAGATTTAATATCTAGTTGATAAATAGTTTGCAGTAGTTCTCCAAAGACCCGTGATATCCTGATCAGTCGTAAATCTGGAATGGTTTTTTTCAAGGATTCTATCAATCTTTCTGTCATGAGATTTTCCTCGAAATTTTCTTCAGCAGATTCTTCTTCAGGGTTAATTGTTTCTTCGTACGATTTCTGGCTGTCTTGAAGCTTCTTTTGAATGACAAGAAGAACTTGCGTGATCAAGGTGTCTAAATTTCTTCGATATCCTTCCAAGTTCCCAGATCTCTCTGATTCCTCGACCGATATATTCACTATTGCTTCGAAAGAACCGATGCTTTCATTAATCTTTTCTACCATGAAATTAAGGTTTTCAATGATGGGATGATTCACTGTAAATGTAAGACCAAGATCAATTAATTTCTGTTTCATTTCATTGATTTTCTGGTAACTTGTTCGAAGGAAGTCGACGTGTCTTTGATGAAAGATGAAAATTTGTCCTGATGTTTCAACTCTTTTTGAAATTATCATCCACGAGTTCAGCTCATCCGACAAATTTTGAATTATGTTCAGAGAGTCTTTCATCGAGGTAATCGAAGCTGCAACAACATTATCTTCATTTAAAATAGAAACTGCAGTTTCATTTAAATCGAGAAGCTTTTCTGCTTCGAGAGCCTCTGCTGGATAACTTTCCAAGAAGACAACAATTTGCTTCGTAGATATTTGTAATATTATTAACAATTCTTGGAAATTTTGCATGAGAACATGCAAATCTTTTTGTTTAGGAACGTTCAACCTCTCAAGTACTTTAGAAATGCTACATTCTGTCGTTTCTAACTTGTCACTTTCTTTTGAAACGTTTGAAGCATTCTTTGTCTTCATCGCGTCATCCATTATTAGAGTGAGATTTAACAGTTGAATTTTAAACGGAAGAAAATATTTAACGAAATTGGCGATTCTCTCCTTCTGCCGATGAGCCAGTAAAATAAGATGGGCTGAAAATCCACGGCAACGTTCAGCATTTTGGATCCCGAGGTCGCTTTTTCCAGAATTTAAGATACCATTTAAGAAATTCAATTTAATCAAAGATTCATAATAATACTTGTTACAATCAGACCATTGTTCGATCAATCCATGGTCAACTTTATCGCTAAAGCTTTTCCTAAATTCGAATCTCTGAATTTCCTGCAAATCTAACGGCGTCGATGCGAAGTTCGTGATCTCATATTCTCTATTTTTCCAAGTCAAGATTCCAATTCGGTACGAAAGTCCGAATTGACTTAATGTTTTGAAGTAATTAGCCAATGCCATTTTTTTCTGCTGGAGCATGCTCTTCAATTGCGCCTGTTGCTTGCCTTTTGTCAAAGTTTTATCGACTTCCAAATTCTTTAACCTTCCGCTCTCTTCAAGCGTGTCTTCTATAAAAATCTCGATCTCCTTTCGAATTTCAGAGTAATTGCTTTTATGAACAATGTTTTGACAAAACTCACGAGCTTTGCGAACTATCCTTTCAATTTTGTTTAACTTTCTAGATGGAAGGTCAACTAGAAAATCAGATGACACAAAATCTCTTTTATAGCTTGTCCCCAACTTTTCTGTTCTTGTTTTCAGAGTTAAATAAGCAGCAACATTTTCTTGCAATCCTTTTCGAAATTCTTTCACAAATTTGTGCAAAGTTCTACGTGCCTTCTCGGCGGTGTTCTTCACAGACCAATAGCTAATATCATTCCATCTTGTAATCTTGATCGTGTCCTTCAGTTTTCTAGCAATAGGCTCTTTCAAAGCTTTTATTTTATTTTTCACGTCGTTCAAGAATTGAGCGTAGTAGTGGTGAACGTTCCAGAATATGGCAGCCAATTCCTTTTGCTTTTTAGTCTCTCTAAAGTGACCAATATGTTGATAGAAAAGATAGATTAACTGAAGTCTTGGCTCGAATTCAATCAAAGACGATTCTGCTAAGAAGCGTTCCAAGCTTTCTGTAATTTTCCCCTTTGGAATATTATTGCTTTTATTCGAATTTCTCTGTATTTCTACGTCTCCTGTTTGTTCAGTTGCTCCTTCTTTCGAGAGTTCAGCGTTTTCCATTTCTTCAGAGTTTTCGTCAAGATGCTGATCAACCAAATCGAACAAAAAGAACCACCATCGTGAAGCCTCGGTTCTCAAATCGTCTTCAAGAATCTCCAACGAGTCCTTCCATCTTGAGATCTCGAGCTTCCTCCAATTCAGTATCTTTTTGCCAAAGAATTCAATGAACTCTGCAAGACTAACATCGTGCCGTGCATTTTCTTCCCATTGTTGAATCTTTGTCAAGAGCAATTCGACGCCCACTAAAAATTTTAACAACGACGTATCAACTTCAAAACTAAGCAGTCTATCTATAATCAATTTAATCGATTTCAAAATCGGGTTTTCCGACCATTCCATCAGAAAGCTGTCGATTCTTTCGGAAAGTCTTTCAACGAATGGTTGACATTCCTCGACTTCTACAATGTTTGGGTCTCTATAAAAATCATAAACGTCTCGTTTAACTGCCCTATTCTGAAAATTGGTTTTCTGTGCGATCAACACGTTCAAACTGCACACTAATTTCGATGACATGTTCTCTGGTAACGTTTCCATTGCGAACCCAAGCATTTCAAACCTCTGAGCCAATGGTTCGATGAAGTTAACTTCCTGGTAGATGTCAGAATTTTCCAAATTATTGTTAGAGTTTCGGCACCTATTTTTCGAACAGTCTGAAGCGCTTAAGTTCCACTGACCGCGGTCAGAATTCTTTAAAATATTCCAATGAATGTCTCGAATTTTTCTAGCATCTTTCAAAGATATTAATTCGACGAAGCGTTCCTTCTCGCTCGAAACGCTTTTTGGGACTTTTTGGAGTTCCAAAGACTTCTGCTGGAAGTTCGGAAGTATTTCTGCCAGATCTAGGAAATCCTGCTGGAAGTCTGGAAACGCTTCCTTGAAATTCGATTCGTCCTCTTCTTTTTCTGACTTAGTCCGAAAGAGACTTTGTTTTTCTTGCATTTCCTCTTCTCTCTCCACCTCTTGATCCCTCCAAAGAGCTCGAACCTTCAGGAAGATTTTGTTCAGTTCGTTCCAGAACGATTGCAAACTTGTTCCAGCGAAGGCGGTAAAATTTTCAAGCTCTTCCAGCGCTACTTTGGTCATTGCCAATACGTTCTCTCGAACGGGCATCGATTTAGACTGTGACCCCAGGAAGAAAATTATATTTTCGGAAGCACACAGTTTCACCAGGTTTAGATAATTCTCCTGGCATGAACCGATCGCTGGAAAACGCAGCAAGTTATAGCAAACGTCCGCGTTCGAACTCTGATACTGCATAGTTGATATTTGTTGCATTAAAATCGATACTCCGTGATGCAGATTCCAGATCGCGGAAATCATCGGGGTCACCAGATCAGGGAAACCGATCAGAAAGTTCTTCTCTAATTTTCCTGAAAACCTTTGCAACGATTTCTTCCAGATCGTCGCCTCGTGCAACTTTTCCCGGTTTAAATGCGGCGTTCCTGTTCTCTGCATTTCTTCGAGCACGTCGTTTAAGTGATTGGTATGTCGGAAGATTAATTCGGACGAGCCTATGTTGTCGGTGAAATTTTCAATTTCCTTTCTCAAATTCTGATAATTAGACGACGGTCTGACCGCTTGGAAATTTTCGAAATTTTTCGCTTCCGTCGACGATCTCCTCAGATGATCTTCGTTCGACAAAATTTGATTTTGAGACGCAGAAGCGTCGAGAATTCTAGTTTGCAAACTTTTAACGCGCATTAAACATTTTAATTCCGAAACGTTTTCGCCTATGTATTTTGATTTCAGAGCGACCTTTCGAACGGGATCGATAAACCCTATATCGTGGAACAGAAAGATTTGTAGGTAGCCGAGGATCAACCATCCTTTCCCCCTTTCCACAGCGTTGTCTTCGGTTTTTAATTTCTCTTCGATTTCTTGCAACGATTTCATCGGTTTCAAGAGACGGTTTTCCAAATCGTCTTGTTCCTTTTTGTTTAATTTTAACGCATAGGTGTCTACTGCTTTCGCGACAGTAGATGTGTAATAATTTATACAAAACTGCAGGAGAATCGAATCGTTTGTGGATAAATTGAATTCTTTTAAATTAAAAACCAAAGAATTTCTCCACAGTAAAGTTTGTACTGTTTTTAATAGTTTATTTTTATTTTTGTAATTACCAAAGTTTATTGTTTGTCTTTGGCTTCCAGATTTTGTTAAGAACAATTCGAAAATACGTTTACAGAGACTCGACTTATTAACAAAATTTATCTGAAAATTAAATAAACAAAAAATTAAAGAATTAGATGCCTTTCAGTTTTATAGACTTTCTTATAACTGTAAAGTTTATTTGTCTTTCTATTTATTTATTACAAATTTTTTCGCGATAAATTTGTTGGGAAACACTGGGTTAGAGTATGTGTTGTGTTTTCAGTGACTAAAGAGAACGAGTATACGGAGTGCGGAGCCAAATATCAATTAATATTTATACAATACAATCGTGTGCGTACCTCTGAATTATTAGAATCGCCTTCCATTTCATCGTCTTCGTGATATTTCACAGCAAGAGATCGGTTCGAGAATTCTTCTACCAAGGAAAGCAATTCGGGAAATAAGAGAATTCTTCTCTTGAGTGAAGTATCATCGGAGTTCAACGTCTTCATTAAACCTATTAAATGCACTGGAATGCTCGGAATCTTTTCAAATTTTTGGAAAACCCTTTCTTCGAAAATCTTCTCAAATTTCTTATTCATTGAGGAATCTTCAGGTAAGTTTTCATTGAAGTTCTCATCAATTTCTCGGAAAAAATCGTTAGAAAATTGCTCGCAAAGTTTTCTTTGGAAGCGGTACGTAAACAGTAAGAAGAAGAACTCGTAAATGGGCCATACTTCGATTTCAGATAAATTGTTATTAAATTTTACGTAACTCTCGTCCAATTCTTTGAACACTACGATCTTCGTAGATAAATCCTCCAGTTCCAGCAAATTGTCGGCCATGTTTGCATTTACACGACTATCTATAAAGTTTTGGGCACAGATGCCTATCAATTTTTCTCTTATTATTAAATTTTCCGCTAGTCCGAGCGAAACGATTTTCAATCTCGTCTTTGAACGTTCGGCCAAGTCCTCGTCGGTGATTTCACATTTTCTCAAAATCGATCTTAGTTTTTCGTGGAAAGTGATCGAATCCTCGGAGAAATGGGGCGACGGAATCGGCAAAAAATTTTTAACCTTCTTTCTAATCTTTCTGAATTTATCCGCGTTGATCGTTATGTTTAAATATTTCAGAGTAAAATATGCTAACTCGGAGTGCATTTTTACATTGCAGGAATTTATGTCCAAAAGCGCAAACAACGTCTTGAATAGCTTCACCAGCCATTTGTAGTGAACTTTCAAAGACGAAGAAATTTCTCGTATGTCGAAAAATGTCCCTCGTGACTTGTCGATCAATTCGATCGTTCCTAATTCGTAGAATCTTCGGAACCACTTTAATCCATCTCGTAACTCGACATACTCTTTGTCATTCATCGACAAATGTTCGCTGTGAAGTATATAGTCAATAGTCTTTGCAGACTGTTCGATTAATTCTACAAATTTGACTATTAGTGGTTCGTTTTTTAAGTTGCTGGAAAGTCTTCCTGAAACGAAGACTTTCGTTGTTACAAATCGTATACGTGCAAAAGATGGGGTGAAAAGTCGTGAACAGGGTATATCAAAATAACGAGAAATGTTTATACACATAACACCCTGTATAAACACGTATTCCATTACTTTGATTCTTACCTGAGCAAACAGCAGTCGAATAGTCTTTCAGACACATAACATTTTCGTTTTTCTTGATATCTTTCTGCAACTGACAATCGAGAATCACTGATTGAAAATATAAAGCAATCGCTAAATTATTGAATACTGTGGGGGGTTCAACGAAGCTGAGTGGAACATCTAAAGCAGAGCTGTTCTTAAATAAGTATTCTAAATTTCCAATTTCTTTACACAAAAATTCACCAAATTCCCTGAAATGGTCAAATCCATTCTTCGATAAAATATATGAACTCCAAGCTCGTCGAGTTTCGAGGTCGTCTATGGAAGATCGTTCGTAAAAATCAAGCAACAGAAGTTTTAAAAATTCCGTAGTATCTATTATGGGAGATTCCAAGAAAAAATCTTGCAGATCAATTTTCTCAGAATGGTTTCTGTAAATAACGATTAAAACGAATGTTCAAAAATCCACAATGGAACAAAATATCGGATTATCGTTCGTTTAACTCAAAGTCGAAATGCAGATAAACTAGATCGAGACTGCTTGAAATACTTTATGTGGATCAGTCTGTATAAATATAACACACTGAAGTTGTTCAAAGATATCGACAGTTTCATTTTAAGGCGACAATCTAGTAAATTTAGTCATTTTTCTCACCTCAACATTTCCACGGTAGTCTTCAGAAGAAATCCTTGTTGTTCGATCATTGCTAGTCGCGAATTTGTTCGTAAATCGGAACTTCTTAGAGTTATGGCGTCCAGATCGTAAGAAAACGTTTCTTTATTTTCAGAATTCTCCGATAAAATTTCATCCACCTTTCTCAACACCTCTTTTTTCGATCTCGCGTCGAACACACCACATATTTCGTGATAGGAATTTCGCAAGGACTTGTCGAAGGTAAATCCTTTCACTATTTGTTGACTGGTGAACGACGCGACTTGCAAGACTTCGCTCATTCTGGACTGATTATCGTACAAACTCTTATAAATTTTCAATAATAAATTCTGTTGATGGAGTTTCTTTATGCCGCATTTATTCAATAGCGACACCACGTCTAGAGTATTACAGTAAAGACCGTTCGGTGGTGTGGGAATACTGATTTCTACGCCTCTATTTCGCATAGCTCTGCAATCACCAACACAGGAAAATATCTACTAAAATTACTACTTACATAATCATATTCTATCATTCTAAATAAAACCCTTTTTTTAGGAAGGTAACGAACGACGAGTGGATCTCTTCCCTCAAGATCGTCTTAAGGACAATGCAGAGTATTATCAAAAAAACCTTCGTTCAAAATAAGATCTTTATGCCAATATAAATTAACAAATAAATAAATATTTTATCATTTGTAATCATTTTTGATCAGGAAATCCTCGGAAACCAGAAATCATGTCACTGAAAGCTGTTCTCCAAAAGTGCAGTTTTCAAGAGGACTTAAAGATGTTTCAAAGAATCGTCAACTTATGGCTCTCAAGGTAACGTATCTCTTGTTTAAATATTTTTTCAACAACAGCCATTTGTATCTTTACTTAATAAATCAGTATTTGTGTTGTCCGAGTTCACCCTTCATAAATCAAAACAGAATTCCGCGAAGTTCTGAAAACGTTTTTTACATTACCTGGAAATCTCCCCGTAACGAGGGTTCATGGTAAGAAATAGCCGGAAGTTCTTATGTGCTCTGATAGTGAATACGTTTCCCTCTTCGTCGACGCCTTTCTCACCTATCGTCAAAGCACCGTTCGGTTCTAACAGTCCATTCAATCTGTCCAATATTGCAGCACTGCAAAGATTTACTTGGTCCAATAGTAACCAAGTACCATTTTGTAGACACTGGAAAGAGATGTACAGGGTAGGTCAACATCAATTGTCGTCTGAAATAACTCGTAATTTATTGATTCGAGCTGTATCGCTAATGCTGATCGAAACCGACGATGAATCCGTTCAAGCAAACAATGAAACGTTGACGGTCGTTCATTTTCCTCGCACCCTGTGCTCCACCTTTAAATGTAGGTCTTCGAATCTAGGAGTGATCAAACTAATTTCGTTCGTTCAACGTCGCGAATAACAAATATCGTATAAATACGTCGTAAAAAATCGAGCGAATAGTCGCAGCGTCGTTAAGTGAAATAAAAAGACGTTTACCTTCACGAGAACACTGTCAACCCACTCGAACTTTCCACCAGCGTTCAAACATTTGTCTTTTTCCACAGCCATCGACAGGGCGGTCAGTTCTTTCTCGATTTCTTGCAATTCTGATTCGCAGGCACTCTCCAATGTTTTCATGGCCGACATCAATTGCGACAATTTCTCAGTTTTACGTAGAAACAGTTTCGTTTCCGTCACCATTGTCGTTTTCATTGATTTCTCGTTACCTGCATTCGAATGGAAAACCACGCGACTGACTATACAGATCCTCGAAGCTCAAACTTACATATTATCGCGTACAAAGACTTCACCGAACAATATTTCTTCAACGTTATTTTTTTACGCGGCATTATTAACGATTTACTTCGTGCAAATTTTTGGTGAATTTATTTAACTAACACTGGTTTGTACCTTTGGATAAATGTCGAACATTTTCTAGAAGACCGTGGAAATGAGCCACCTGATCTAAATTCTCTTTATTCAGTTTCTCCCTCAGGATTTTGATTAACAATGTTTCCGTGCGTTCCAGCAATTCTTCGAAATGACGATCGTAATCTGTCTGTAACACAAAGGCGGAGGAAACTTTCATTCGGCATTTCCTCTCGCAGAATAATTCAATTCGCGATCGAGAAATTTGTACTGCCGGTACTGAAAGTACATTTATTAAATTGTATTGTGTACGTTATAATATAAATCAAGCTTTCTTTTAAACTTTTGCCTTTATTCTACGTTGTATTATTACTATAGACAGAATCGTAGAAACCGTTTCTCCGCGGTATAGCTTTCTTTCGATATCATATTCCCCGACTAAAACTGTTTCGGAAATAACTACTACGCTGGAGAAATCGCAAAACAAAAACAAGAGGAAAAAGGCGACGAGTTCTTTTCCGAGGCGTCAGGATTATTCTTGGGAGGTCGAATCAAAGTGATTGATGTGTCTTCGTTGACCCTATCCTCCGAAGTATGGATTTTTCGGCGTCCATCTTTGCTATTGAGATTCCCTACTAGCCCACTAACATAACAGTCGTATTGCAACGATTTATGTATTAAATTAAATTCGGTTCCAAATCGTTTTCTTGCAATTTTGTAGCGCCATTAGCGCACAGCTAGCGATCGAACGAGCATGCGAAAGAAGTATCGTCGTATGGGAACTGGGTATAATTAGAATCCACGAGTCGTAAAACAGTACAAGCCCTAACTTAACCGTTCCCAAATAATCTCAAAACTATATCTAGTGAAAACTATCCCTGGCGAAACAGTTCAAACGGAACTTTTCTAAATAAAATACTGGGTATAAAAGTTCTGATGAGGACAGATAACTAAAAGTTCTTTGAAGTAAATGTTCCGAAGAGAACGGATAAATAGAAATTCTTCGAAATAATAGTTCCGATAATAACAGATAAATAGAAGTGTTAGTTCAAATAAAGTTTAGAAGATTTTCACAAATATTGATATTAGATTAAGAGCATGCGTACCTTCCACAATTTCAGTACAATTTTCGAGTATAAGAACACGTGCATGCCCCGCGGGCACATTTGTCGAGAGGGCGGTTAGATGTTAATATAATAGAAGTTTTGATTAACCAATGCAGCAAGTTTGGATATTACTCCCCTTGGAGCAATTTCAACCATATGCAAATTTCTATTAGACGTTATAATATACCGTTCGTAAGTATTAGAACACTTGACCAAAACGTTGTTAATAATATTTAGACTATCGTAACTTCCTGCAAAGAAGTTTCACAATGATCTTCCTGGGGCCATTTAAAAGGTTAAACCCTATACTTTTACATCCCTAAAGCGAACTTCCCCGAGGATATTTCTACACCGAGCAATGATTTTACTACTGTCTGGTGAATCACGGATGTTTGAGAATTACTGGCCTAGATCGTAGATTAATAATCTTTAGAGAATACGTATACTCTCGAAGGTACAATGAAAAAGCGACCAACTTATGGACATCCCGCGGCCAAGAAGAAATTGCATTCAGCTCGGTATTTCATTCTTTTTAATTTGTCTCTTCGCACCAGTAAAGTTGAAAGGCATTTTCTGTCCCCGTTCAATCTTGAAGGTCTTTTTGAATGCCGCGTCGGAAAAACGAAATAAAGAATTTGTCATTAAAAAAAAATTTAAAGGAACAGAGTTAATGTCGTTTCCATTCGAACGAACGAAAAGGTTCTCGTTAACGTTTTTACAGTTCGAATTTCATAACCATCGTGAGCGTTTCGTTTACGATTACATTCAACGTCATTAATGTTAATTTTAATTACGAAGGCATCAACATTCCCAAGGAACTAATAATAAAGTGACGATAAAATATGACTCAATTTTCAGTCTTTGAATGACTAGCGTTTAGTGATTGTCCTTCTTATTGTTATTGTTATTTTTCCTTCTTTTTGTTATCATTGCTACTATGGTATCTCGAGAAACTCTTTTAAGTAAAAATGCGTAAAACATGTCACGACGTCCACGGGCCATGAATTTATGCAACAAGAAAACATTCGTCCATTTTGGACCACGAGTTTGAAAAATATTTGACCCTTAAGGGGTTAAAACGTAACGGGTGGTCCTAAACACCTACGATTTATCAGAAACGGGGTATAAAATAGACCGAGCAAGCAATGCATTTTTCTGTCCGCGGTTTGCGGAATCCCAGGATCCCATTACCATTTTAGTGTCGCATCAATTTAAAACACAAAACCAGTGATTTACAAACACCCGTGTCAGAGCGATGATTTGAAGACCGTCTCTCGTGAACGTATTGCAAGATGGATTACGGTAACATGACAGGTCATTCGTGCTTAAATCTTGCTGTCGGTTCGAGTCTATTTAACGCAACACAGACATCAATCGATCGTAAATAAGATTATAAAAGGAATGCTTTAATGGTTTTTAAGAACACTTGTTGCTGAAACTCGCCCATTCGTCATACATGTATGCACATGCATTAGCGATGGCGTGCACGATTTAATAAAGGCACATAATATAATAATAACAACGTGTTCTATATTACCGAAAGAATTTTATTCTATACTCGAGCATAGAACGCACAAATATAAAATACGTATAATATAAAATTCCTTGGCCTCTCTACGAGAGATATTAAATTCGTATCGCTTCTATTTTGCAGAATACAAATTTTCATCGCGGAGTCAGTTTTGCACTGGTTTTCAATCAACTGTTGAGTGTTTGCAGACTCTTTGGTCGACGAGAGCCTTCGACTTCAATAACGATTCGAACGTGCACCGGACATTCGAGATACTAAATTTTTAATATTTTTACGTTCTACTACGTCACCGTTGCTGCAATTTATAACAATTTAGTAGACAAACGACGGAACGGTTTCGCATACGAGTGTACAAAATGCGGTAGATTACGTCTTTGTAGTGTTCATTTTATTTCAATTCGAGGTTCCATGACTCTTATTGGGAAACCCAATATTATTAGAGAGTCAGACCACTAAGGATAATCCGAGGCGTCAGAATTTATCCCGTAGGATGAGTCTGATGGTTCGAGCCCCTGAGTGCCACTAGACGGACCTTGCGAAACAACACCGAGAACACGCTCGAAATACGCGCGCGCGCGCCGATCCAGTTGAAGGGAGAGAGAATCCTTGGGTATCAGGGGCTCCATCCACTTGGAACTCAGTGCTCTCTCGTATCCCGTGCCGAGAGAATCGAAAAATCTTGAAATCGCGACCGTACCCCGCTTCTACCAGCCCTATCAATCCCCGTCCTCATCACTTTTCCGTTTTTCGTCCTTTGCTATCCCCTGCAACAGAGACGCCTTCGAGCGACAGAGAAACGTGGCGTCGGCTGCGTCGGCGGTGGCGGTGGACAGAGGGTGGTGACAGTTCTTATTGTAAATATGGTGAATTTTGACGGAGACACACCCCCGAGGAAGACGTGACACACGGGGATGAAAGGACGGCCAATTATTAGCTCGGCTGGATTTAAGTCCCGGAGGAAGGGACGCGCTTTCAGGGAGGACAGGGTGAGGACACCTTACGAGGTAGTTGATCTTCCAACGGAATATCTGGGTTAATGCTTTATTAGGTATTATTACGCCGCGGCGCCGTTTGATCAAGTGGAACAATCAAATTTTTCTATTTAGGATAACGCTGTATTCCGGAACAAGCGTTTCTTTAATTATCTTTATTAAATTAGAATTAGCGAAATGTGACGATGCTTAGGGATTACTTGAAAAATACCTCGAAAGATATTTCTAATATTTTCTCGATAGGGAATGTTTAATGAAGATAATTAAAACACATGCTCGCGTGAGACCGTTTTTCCAAATTGGATCTACTTCAAAAGCAGACATCTACAAAATAAAACTGTCCGGTATGAATGAAAGTTAGTGGCTTCGTTAACGATTTTTTATCGATAAAGCGTTTAGTGTCGGTCCCTTTTTACGGGACTTCGTTTGACGATTTGTAGGAGTATAGGAGTTCGTGTCTAAATGAATTGTACTCCAAAAATATGAAATATTTTGTCGAATGCGATTTATTTATAACAGATAGTTAATTTAACTTTAAACTATATTTGATTTCTGGCGAAAGAGGTAATGTCGGTAAATTTCATTTACATTGGTACGATTACGGCAACGACGACGGATAAAATTTTCCATTCGTTAATAGAATTATCGACATCTTCGTACTTTAGATCGGCGTTCTGAGTGACGCAGCACGTCGACGAAGTCTTCCCTATTTCTAATTTCGTTCGTACATCGCGTTCAACTTTAGAATTGTAATAAACAAAGACTTGTCGAAAAAAAACGAATCGAAGTGTAATTTTACATCAGACTAAAAAAGCTGAGGTCACAGTGGTAAAAACATTTTCAGAATTTTCGACACGCCCGAGTAAATTAGATGACTTTTAATTTCCGTTTTCACGTTGCATGGAAATCGTTATCGAGAGAAACTACCGTGAAAGAAAATGGGACATTCAATAGCAATTAATTAAAAGAAATCGTATTATACGGCCATTTTGAAATAGCCGCGGAATTAATTAATCGAAATTAGGAAACCCTGTTACACACAATTAAATTATTTCCTCGAAATTATCCATATAATTTTCAATTTCCTCTCTATGCAAAAGTGTGTCATGAACTCTACCATCAATTGAATCAACAGACCACTTCAGAGTAATTAACCTTTAAGTAGAACTTAAAAGACCACGTAAATCTCTGCCATAATTAACCTCCAATTAATAAGCATGTGCTTTCGAAGCTATCGCAACTTCGTTTCGATACTATTTTAACGATACCCCTTTCTTGCCCTCTTTTGGTCAGTCCCCGCGACTTTTACTCTTCCACTTAACGATAATCGTTATATCCAATTAATTAATTACTTTTAATTTTTTTTTAAAGCTACTACGTCCGCACTGTAACCAATCGGCCCCGAATTTCTGGTGCCTGAATAGTTTAGGACGATTACGACTCCCAGGATTTGCGCCGTCTACTTTGAAAAATATTTCTTCCGTCTAACTCCGCTCAACGTGTTCGTTTCCGATTTCGGATGGTTCGAACAGTCTCGCAATTTTAAACGTCTCGCAGTCAC